CTCTACTGTTGCCTTTGGAAGGCTGAACCCTTCCCTTACCAGAACCCAAGGCTTGATGAGTTCAGAATATTTTTCTGGTTTACACTTCTCCAACCTCAGCAGCACTTGTTCATCCTCAGTGCTGAGCTCAGGACGAATACCTGAAAAATAAAGTAAGGCAGGACAAGATCAGGTGGGCTCTCCAAATTTGAGCTTGGATAGTTTGAGCAAGGACTTACCCAAGTTATCGGGGGCAGACCAGGTTCTAGGAATGGGGAGAGTATCTATCTTATCAGCTAGGTTGTACTCCCAGTGTTCTCCCCACACAAAGAAGAAAAGTTTTCTCCAGCCTTGTGGGAGCTCAGGAGGTCAAAAATAATCTGTTTAGCCTTTACCCGTTTAAAAATATACAAGAAACCATCGGTAGGGGTATACTTAACATCGAAAAGTTCTATTAGTAAGGAGACAGTGGGAATACCGAGCTTGTGTAGCTTGAAGAAAACGAGACCCACCAGGACACCCCAGAAGTTGGGAGACAGCTGAGCAGGGCAGACGTTGAAATGTTGGAGGACACTTTTGACAAAAGGGTGTAAGGGAAAGTGCAAACCATTCTCAAAGGCAACAACAAAGAAACAGACCTTCTTTATGGACCTGGGAGACATATGGGATAAACTTATCTAGGCACCAGAACTGAACTCTTAGGAGAAATCTGTAGCGAGCACTAAGGACCTTCATTAGAGGTGGGCTGACCTCACTGGGGCCTACGAGCTCAACAGCTCTAAAGGCAGCCCCTGCATCTTTGGCACTGCCTGAGACACCAACTCCGATCACCTTAGTCTTACCCTTACTAGAATTTTTGGGTGCAAGGGGGCAGATAGGGGAGTTTCCTCGGTGTGTCCCTCGGCTTCAGCAGAATCAACCCCAGAGAATTTGTCAATTTTCTCACCTATCTCGCCTAAGTCCGAGGTGTTCTCAGCAGTCCTATCCCCCAGAAGGGAAACAAAGGAAAGGGTGGCTTCAAAAGAGGCAGACATGGTGGGGTAGGAAAAGGGGAGTCAAAAGATACGATAGAGGAGAGGAATATTTGTGGAACACTCCCTAAGGGTTTGGGGAGCAACACAACAACTCCCAATAAGGAAGACCCTAGCGGTAAAATAAGGGTCCAAGAAGAGAGGAATTCGAGATAGCGATCGACCTCGGTTTCTAAAATAATAAAATTGAAAGGTCCAAAAATATAAGAATCACCTCAAATATGAGGGATCCAAAACGAAGAGACAAATAGAGGGTAAAAAATGTGCCTAGGAAAGGAGGAACAGTAAGCCAAAGCCAGAATCGGGGGCAAAGAGCAAATCTCGTCGAAACCTCAGATCGAATCAGGAAAAATCGTTTCCTCAGCGAAACCCTAGTGGCACCAGCAAAATCAAAAAATTGAAAGTCAGAGGAAGAAGAGAGGGAAAAAGTACAGAGAGGGAGTTCAAAGGACGTAATAAACCGCTCTCCCTCAATTCAGAAGCATTTAAAGCTAACAGTACAGAATGGAAAATATGCACGAGAAACTAGGAAGTTAAATGATTGCTTGAAACGGTCAAAAACTTGTTCGTGCACAAATCGAGGTCTACAACTAAAGGTCAGGCCTGTTTAAGCCTCAGCTCAACCCCCACTCAAGTTCACTTGGAGTAAGGGCTGGGGGGCAACTGATATTACTTAGAATAATTTCCAAGCATTAGGTCGAACCAGGAGGTCAAACAAGCAAATTTAGAAAAGAAGTCAGAAAAGACATGCAGAGCCCAGGTCAGAGCTAGAGTTACCCCCCCAGGCGCACCAACAACAAAAGTGATAAGGAAACAGCTAGATGATAACAGAAATCTGTTAGGTGGCAAAAAGTCATATTCAAGGTATAAAATCTTTAACCAGCCAAGATCCTCTCCTAAGATTAAGGAGAGTTCATCGGATAAATAGCAAGGATCTCGGTGCAGATCCCATAGAACTAGGAATAGCCCTATAAATATTATGTAACTCTCCCAAAGCAGGGGGAGAAAAAACTCTAGTTATCCTGTAAACGTTCTGAATGAGGAGTAAAGAGAAAAGGAGCAAAAATCTCTATTGAATAGTGGATTAGCCGAGCTCCCAGACTGGTGAATCACTATAATTCTATTGCGTCAATCCCCCAATTCCCCATCGATACCAGTCCCTGCTCTTTCGAGCCTTGTAGCTCAGATCCTATTAGTCAGATCCTGATCATTCCATCTGCCCATTACCATAAGTTTGCACCACGTTGATTTACACCATCAAACGGGTTTTGGAAATCGGGGCGGAAATAAGTTTCAGTCTATAATTGTTTTCATTCCTACACGGGTTTATATGAATATTTTTATATATGTATACCATTCAATATGTATGTTCAATCCTCAATCCAAACGAGGTGGGCTTGAATGAATCCTCGTTTCCCCTCGGTTCACTGCTATCCCTAACGAGAATAATTGGCCCAATTATTTTCATAGGGTACATAAATGAGTTTAACTGTAGTACCGAAAAATTATATTATAATAATTTATCTCCTTTTTTTAGCAAATTAAAATGTGTCATGTGTAAATTATTTATTTATTTATTTATCTTTATAATCAATGACAGCCAAATATATTAATCTAAATCTAGTACTTCTGATCCCTTTTAATGGGTCTTAAGCCATTCCTGTGCAGTAATGGGCCTTAAGTCAATTCCAACAAAATGGGTTTATGGGTTTTACCCTGAGGATGTACACAGCTTATAATGCAAAGAAAAATGGGAAATACAATATCAGTAATACTATACTGACCAAATTTTAAGATCAAATTTAGAGTTCAAATAACATAGTAGCTGATTTGAGCTTCTTTATTTGGTGTCATGTCATTTGGGCCCCAATAAAAACTCCAAATAATATGCTGTCATGTCATTTAGGCTCCAAATTTGATTTCAAAATTTGATCAACATAGCATTATTGATATAATATAACCCAAATTTTTAACCTAAATTTGTATCCCAAATGAAAGGGACCATTGGATGAGTAGGTCTCATCAACTTTTTTAAATGAGATCCATTAATCCAATGGTCCTCTTTATTTGAGATGCAAATTTGGATTGAAAATGTGTGTGTGTATTTTTTGGTGTATTAATGTGTGTATTTTTTTAGTATATTAGTGTGTGTGTGTGTGTGTGTGTGTTTTATTTGATATATTAGTATGTATTTATATTTAGAGTTTTAATTATTTTATAAATTAATAGGTTTAACTCAACTCGTTGTGATCCAACCCATTATAGCCCATTTATTAAGCGAATTGAAAATGAATTGAATTTATTTTGCACCCTACCCAATTTAGAACAACCCCAACCCAAGCCATCAATTTCACCTCTACTTATCTCCCACCACTTTCAAACGAAAGTTTGATCATCGTAGTTTTTAGTTTTGGTATAACAGTCTTTATGTCATAGTATTTAGTAACTAATGATGGATAAAAGATAACTATAGCACATAATCATGTTGTCAAATATGACGCACGTGTACTCTAATTAATAAGAATTCTGTTGTAGATCATTGCATTTAACATGTACGGACATATCAACTAATACGGATTTTGTCGTATTCTGTCACTTTTAATGCATATTTATTTTATGTTGAAGTTTATTTAAAATCTAGCTTTAGAAGTGAAATATTAAAACTTCTACTCTTGTAAATAATTTGCATAAACCACATTTTAGTAGAATTTTAATTTTCTAAATCGTACTTATTTATGATAATCCCTAACTCTTACATGATTATCAAACAAATTCGATTCGCGGGAATAAAACAATTTACTATTTAAGTTTCTAAACCTAAATTGCAATATCACAAAAATATGTTTTCAAGCAAGATTATTTGAATTCCCATTTCCGATACCACGAATCCAATAGCAAATTTCACTTGGGGTGGGCCCCAACAAAAGGACCTTCAACACCCCCCACGTGGCTATGATTCATTGGCTCTCGAGGTATCGGCCTCGTCAGATACAGTGGAGAACGTAACTGACCTCTTTCGTCTCTATCTGAAGTCTTCTAAAGGCCAAAAAGGTTCTATTAAGGCTGTATTCTGGTACACTTCAAGTGCATGTGTTACTGAAAACCCTAGCCTTATCTTTCAGAGAAAATAATAGACTATTCATAGTATGAAACTCTAACGGTGGATATCATACCTCAATTGACATACACATGAAAAAGAAAGAAATATTCCCCAGTGTTGTTTCTGTAATTTTCTATTGGATAGGTCACGCCATTGTCAACATTCACCTGACTATAAATAAACCCATGTACATGGGGGTCCTCTCCTCAGTACTCGAGAGTGAGAGCCTTAGGGTTTCTGCCCTTATAACATGCTTCTTCCTCCTCGGAGACTTTCTGTGTGTGTGAATTGAGTACTCGAGTGTGAAATTTACCAGTTTAAGCTTCTTTTTCTACTCTCTTTTTTGGGTTTTATTTCTGGGAGAAAATGGGTTGCCATGGTTGAGATATATGCATCTCTCTCTCTCTCTCTCTCTCTCTCTCTCTCTCTCTCTATCTATCTATATATATATTTGTGTGTGTGTGTGTGTGCCTGTGTGTGTCTTTCTAGGGTTTAGACTTTAGATAGCTGTATCTGAGACTCAGTGTGGTTCAGTGATTTTACCATGATCAAGATGATTTTATGTTGCTTCTTTTTTCTTCTTGTGAAATTTAATCACTTGATTATTTGTCAATTCTAGAACTCATGGAAGGCTGTTTCATGCGGTGTTCTTCTGAAATTAGTTAGTTTTCAGAGCGCACACACACACATCGATGTATCAGATTTTCTCAAAAAAAACAAAAAACAAAAAAAAAAATGATTTTAGATTGATTTTCGTCTTCTTCTTCTTCTTGGTTGTTTTTATCTTTGTTGTTGTTGTTGTATAGCTAGGTTGATCTTGTGACTGTACAACAAACGTGTCGTCTTGATTAATGTTACAGACATTAATAGTGTTTGATAGTTACAGACAAATGATGGATATGAAAAAAAGAAATGTTGAGGATGATGATTTCGAATCAACTTTCGAAGACTTCGAAAAGTACTTCACATCATCAGATCCTTCTTTCCTTTCATTAGAAAACCTTCTTAAGGACAAGACCGAAAGTTTGCCATTATTTGAATCCAATTCTGAAAATGGATTAAATCCAACTATTCCGATCCCTTATTCCGGCAGATCAATCGTCAGTCAAAATGTTCCGGCCAACGGGCAGAACTTTCTTCCGACTTCTGGGTTTATAAATATGCCTTCCGGTGGCCATGGTACCATCAGCTCAATGTCGGACTCAACTCCACCAGTTGTTAGCCAATTTAGTCCACAACTCATAGAGAACACTCTCCCTTATAGGATTATCAATTCAATGCCAAACTTCGAGCCACCACAAGCTCTCAGCCTAAATCTTTCATCAAATAGTGTAAACAGTCTCTTGGACAGTTTTAAGTCTTCGAATCAGAAGGAAAGAATCAATAGAATGCCTTCTTCTATACCGATTGATAGGCGTGGCAATGGCATTGCCTTGACCACGAGGGGGTCATCTTCTATGGCACCCCCAACTCGGCCACCAAGGCACGTCCTTGGAAAACAACCCTTGCCACCACCACCACTACTTTCAGGTGGTGCAGGTCAAGAAGGTCGATGGAGGATCAGAAAGACGCCTCCGGCAATGCAGGAGGAACCTGCAGAAACTGATGGACAACGGTTGAAGAGGTATAGATCAAAAATATGTATATATCTTGTCTCCATGTTTTTTATTATTTATATGAGATGTATCCCGTAATTGGCAGCTCTTTAGTTGTTACTTACTTAGGGTTTGGTGCAAGTTTATTTATCGATCGAATAATGCTATATGAATTTAAAAACTAAACTTGATAATCTCAATCATCGAATAGATAATTTTGAGATTATCAAGGTTAATTTTTAAAACTACCTTTTAAATACATGTAACATTACTCTTATCGATTTTACGTATTTAAATATTCATATTATTTCATTGCTAGTTGAGCGTCACATGCGTAAAACAGTCCATCACACAAGGGGTAATGAAATCTCATTCTCTAACTTGCTCTTTATGCTAGTTGGACTATTCTGGCTGAGTTGGATGGTCGGGGAATGCATAGTATTGCCAATACTTTTAAATATAAACATTCTATTTGTGAAAAATATGTGTATTAATTTATGTAAGAGAAGCATAAGAAATGGTACAAAAGTGTTTAAGGTTACAAGTTGAGCATATGTAGAGCACATTATCATAACATTTTGTACAGCTGAATGGCTGCACATATTAATCTACATGATATTTATTGTGAGTGGACAAATAGAAGCTCTGAAACATATACCTCTAGGGATACTACTCTTTGCTAAAGCTTTTGCCTCCGCTAGCCAGCTCCACATCTGTTGAATACTCTTATGTTCTATGTTGATGCTTTATCATTTCTTGGTAATTAATGAAAAATCATTTCAACCACCTATCTCTTTTAAACTCATAGTTACAACAAAAACGTGGGATGCACGCAATCCCCGCTAATCACGTGCATCATGTTACATACAATTTTATATGGCCAAGAAAACTCAAATTTAAGATGTCTAAATCCACAAATGGACTTTTATTCCAGCAGTGTGTGTGGGGTTCTTTGCTGGCCAGATCCACCTTTGGAATTCTTGTTCAATATAATAGCTTTGTGATGTATGTAATGTTTCCTTCTTTCAACTAACTATTATGTCATTCATAATAGAATCTTGATCAACCGGGAGCCGACTATTGAGGCAAAGGAGGAGAAGAGGTTGTCTCTGTTCGAGCTTGAACAAAAACAAAAAAACTTGCAAGCAGAATCCATGAACTTTTCTGCACGATTACTGCAAATGAAGGTAAACCAATGCGTTTTTCACTTCCATAGTTGTTCCAAATGATAAAATCTTGCTTAGCTACCATTTGGAAATCATTTTCTAATGTACTTCCTTGGTTTTTATGTTTTAAAGTATGTTTTTTAAGTAGCGTTTAGTTTATGTATTTATTTTTAAGTTTCCCTTACATAATAGTAAACATTTACTATATACATTAGTGTATTATTCTTGTACTAACATTAATATTGGCCACTTTAATTGTATATGATCAAAGATGTTTTTGCTTTATGAATAAATTGTTTCTTGGCTTAAGAAAATTTACTTAAAAGAACGTTACCAACCATTACCTTACTGAGTATATATCAAAGTGGGTTATTTTCCGAAGCTTGTTTTGACCAATTTATATTATATTTCATCCGATAGAGAGAGCCGATCAGGCTGGATGCTTTGAACTACAACATGAAACAACGTTGGATTAATGCCGGGGAACAACTTCGGCTGCAAAACTGTAAGGGTTTCTTCTGATATTGCCTCATTGCATGGATCACCTGAGAATCATATAGCTCACATAATCTACTATCTGATGCTTCTTCACTTTTATACTGCTGTGAAACAAAAACTGTTGAAGTATATTAATACTTATGCTATACACATCTCAGAGATCTGCTGTTATGAGATTGTGAGTTGATATGATATCATATACGTTTGAACCTCTCCGCCACTTTATATTTAAAAAGACTTGCAAGTGTGACTCAATATAGGCCCACAGGTGAGGGGACGCATTAAAGTTTAAATATAAAAACTTGTAGAAATAGTTATGTTACTAGCTATCTACAACTTAAGTTTCTTGGTGATATTGTGGTTTTAATAATATCATAAAGACAGATGTACTTTAGCCGAGAATTTGTTGCGAAAAGTAAGTTGCCTGCAGTGGTAGCTATATGGTATGTTTCCAGCCAGTTAGGTCTGTTTGCCATATTTCTTCTAGTTAGAACCTTTCTGTCTGCTTAGTTGCTGTATTGCAGATTAAAGTAACTCTTAGTCCTACTACTCTTAGTTTTACAATCAAATGATCTGCTCTCGCAATAACAAGATATAGAAGTAGGACACTTCATGCACTTTAGAGTGAATGAAGTGATTACAGAAAATTAGTACCTATATGTAATCAATTTAGCTTAGAGTTGTTTGTTGATATATATAGTTTTCACTCGGATTCTCCTCTGGTGGATCGAGGCATATTTGTGACTTCTATTTTTTCCCTCTCATGTTTACTTTTCTGGAAGGTTAGGTTACATATATCACTGTATCTTTTATATTTCCTGAGGCTGAAATCTTAATAAACTACAACTAAAGTCCACCTTCCTTCAATAGATTGTTCATTCTATATTGTAAAGAGAATTGATAGGTTACTATATGAATAAAAAATCCAATAAAGTAATTATAGGAAAATCCAAGGTAGATGATAGAAACTCCTTTAATGATGTGTTAAATGCACTACACTTGGTTTCTGCTGATGCATTTTGGGTGTCTAAAATCAATCTTGAAATGAAGCTTAGCAATTATTGTTGCTCAAGTCAATAGGCACCATGGCTGCATATATCTCCATAATATGGGTGTATGCAATTTATAGAAACAGTTTCTAAAGAAAGCTCCTTATATATAGCACCTTTTTGCTATGCACATCAAATGTTTCTTTTTTGTTACACTAGCAGCTTTGAATGAAGCCAAGAGAAATGATGTCAAGAATAAAGGAATCCCTGGATTAGGTAATCAACATTTGCGCCTGACCGGACTCTGTTCATCCTCTCAAGATAGGAGTCCTGCGATGCATGGTACATCTGCCATGGCACTGCCTTCACAATTTCATTTGCAATCTCTTCATAAGCAGCAGCAGCAGCCAAGCTTTGCTTCCTTCAAGAACAACAGCTCTGGATTACTGGAAGACCTTGTCATGAACCACCAGCTCACTCCGATTCCTAATCAGCACCAGCACCAGAACCAGAACCACCAGCAGCAGCACCACCTCTCACCCAGTCTCAACTATCATGAAGTGTATAATCCCCCAAACATAAACCAGTCACCTGAGCTCCAAGTTAAGATGCCACAACAGCTTCAACATCCGAATCTTTCGTTCCATCCTGACCACAGTCCTCTAATGATGAATGCTATTCCTCTCACCGTGCCACAATCTGCAAGTAATCAAGTCAGAGTACTTCATTTGAGCAGGAGCTACCAGAATTAGATCTACAAGAGCTTAAGGGTTTGCTTCAATTTCCAGCTGAGTTTGAGCAGGAACAATGCTTTTGGCTTCAACAACTGCAATCAAAACATGGGTGTTCACAGCAAAATCAGGTTCAGATTAAATGTGAGCAGGCACAACCTATCAATCCTGAATCTCATGTGCATCCACAAATTCAGCCAAATCAGCTTGGTTATGATCAGATTCAACATGAGCATGGGCAGCCTAATCAGTTTTACCGGCTCCTGCAACAACCATCTCAGCCACAGCAGAATAGGTGGTTTCACTAGCATTGCTCCGCACAATGCTACGATGGATGAACTGCTGCTCTAGAAATACTCTAGTACTTCTATGAGTTATTTTGTGTGTTTGTTTGTTGTGTCTTAAAAACATATCTATGTTATTGCCGGACAATTAAGAAATATTATTTGGACAAAAATTATATTGATAACACTTGAGATAGATGTGAATGAAACGAACTAAGTGTAGAGTCCCGTATATATATAACTAATAAAAATTACAATAAGGATAAAAAGGAAAAAAGGGAAACCTCTAATAAACTCTAATAAACTAGACTACTATAACTCCAACACTCCCCCTCAAGGTAGGGGCAAATATGTTAATTAAGTCAAACTTGACAACAGAGTTTCGAAGAATGGATAGAGTAACAGGTTTGGTAAAAACATCCGCACAACCTGATCACTGGTCCCCCAAACATTGGAGTGACAATATCATTGCTAACTATCTCTCGAAGAAAGTGAACATCGATCTTTATATGCTTCGTCCTCTTGTATAATATAAAGTCAGAAGTGAGCTGAATAGCATATCGATTATCACAATATAATGTAGATGAAGAAGTCACTGAAAATCTCAACTCACTAAGAATCGATTGTAGCCAGATAATCTCATATATGTCAAGTGTCAGTGCCTGATACTCTGCCTCTGTTGACGAGCGAGAGACAACTGACTGTTTCTTGTTCTTCCAAGAGATAAGATGAGTCTCTCGAAAAGCACATAAGCCCATGGTAAATCGACCGTCACACATTCCCCCATAATCTGAATCTGAATAACAAGCTAGAAAATCAATCTGAGATCCTGATGCATAGAACAACTCAAGTTCAGGACAAAACTTGAGGTCAGGAAGAATATGATAAACTGCATCAAGATAAGGCTGACATTGTTTGTGCATGAACTGACTAACTCGGGTGACAGCAAATGAAATGTCTGGCCTAGTGTTGGCTAGGTAGATAAGTCTACCTACCAATCTCTAATAGACAGTCGAATTCTTAACTCCTCACCTTCAGCAGTAAACTTCAGGTTCGGAATCATGAGTGATAATGCCGGTTTGCATCCCAGCAGCCCAGTGTCTGAGAGAAAATTCAGAACATACTTTCTCTGAGAATGAACAATACCCCTGTTACGGGCAATCTCAATCCCAAGAAAGTATCATAGAAATCCAAGGTCCTTTCATTTCAAAGGTCTTCCCAAGGTCTACTTTGACCTGAGTAGTCCTAAAAATATTATCTTCAGTAGTAATAATATCATCAATATATATCAAAAGGATGACACATTGTCCAGAAGTATTCCATCGAATGAAGTAGGTATGATCAGAGTGACATCTGGTGAATCACAAACGTGCAACTACACCACTAAAGAGAGAGAACCAGGCTCGTGGTGACTGTTTCAGTCCATAAAAAGACTTACGCAGTGGACATACCTTTCCAGCATACTCCCCTCACCATGAAAGCCCGGTGGTGCATTCATATAAATAATCTCGTTCAAATCACCGTGAAGAAATGACTTTTTTACATCCAACTAATGAAGAGACCAAGAGTACTCCGCAGCCAGAGAAATAATCAATCGAATAGTAGTTAATTTTGTCACGGGGGGCAAAGGTAGCACCAAAATCACGACCTAGTACCTGAGTAAAGCCCTTCGCCACAAGTCTAGCCTTGTGACGATTAGTAGTACCATCTGCAAGAAACTTCAGGGTGTAAACTCAGCGACAACCAACAGGCTTCACCCCTAAAGTAAAGAGACAAGATCTCATGTATGATTATGCTGAAGAGCGTTCATCTCCTTCTACATGGCAATAACCTACTGAGGCTCCCACATAGCCTCTGAAACAGAGCAAAGAACTAACGAATCTAATAAGGTCATACTATAAACTTGAAATGTAGGAGATAGATTATCACAAGAAACATAAGCAGAGATTGGATATAAAGTTCTGGCAGTCCAACCATAATGAACAATTGGATAGCGATCACGTCGCGGATAACGACGCCCTAAATCATCGTCTTCCACTGACAATGTCTCATTAGGTAAAGTAATTGGCTCAGTACCTGTAATCTCATCAGTACTAACAATAGGTGCATCAATATGCTTAACAAATTGAGAAGTATTACCTACATCGCCTGAGCTAGATGGAACATCAATAGAGGGATGAGAGCGAGGGCAACGAACATAAACCTGTAAAGGAAGAGAAACTGGTGATTCTGTACTGACATGGATGAGTAGCTCTAGAGGAGGAGAGACTGATGACTTTGTAGTGATAGTGACAAATGACTTTGGCTTCTGGGGTAACGAAAAATCAAAGGGAGGATCATCAACTGAAGGGGCAAACACAAAACTGGAAGAAAAATAAGGAATATGCTCAAGAAAAGTAACATCTAGACTGTGATACATACGTCGCCTAACAGAATCATAACACCGATATCCTTTAGGTTGATGACAATAGTCCACAAAAACACAACGAATCGCTTTACCATTAAGCTTATAGCGGGTAGAAGACCGATCCTGAACAAAACATGTGTAGCCAAAAATACGAGGTGGACCGAAAAAAGTGTTCGCTCAGGGAATAAGACTTGTAAGGGAGCCCTATGATCAGTGTACGATTACACAAAAAGGTAGAAGTCAAAATAACAAAATACCAATAAGATTTTAGTACCCTCATACCTTTAAGCATGCAACGTACTATCCTTATCAAACTCCTATTTTTTCTTTCAACAACTCTATTTTGCTTAGGAGTATATGGACAAGTGAGCTGCTGAATAATACCCTGATAAGAAAGGTGAGACACTAAGGTATCAGACACATTCTTTATCGTTATCCGAATGAAGAGCATGAACAATGACATCAAATTGTGTCTTAATCATCTGGAGAAATTGAGTAATGACAGGAAGTACATCAGACTTTCTATGCAAAAGGTAGACTCAAGTACAACGGGTATAGTCATCTATAAATGTCACATAGTATCGAGCACTTGACAAAGCAGTAACAGGAGAGAGTCCCCAAATATCATAGTGTATTAGGTCAAATGGTTTGGGTGACTGATGCATGCAAAAAATATAACTGGTCCGATCATATTTTGATAGGGAATATATAACACAGTCAAGTTTACCACTAACACAAGTTTTACTCAAAACAGGAAAATAACATACATAAATATTTTTAATTTGTATGCCCAAAACGGTCATTTCACAATTGAACAGTTTGTGATGAAAAATTATAACGACAAGTATTAGGTAAAATACTAGTATGCAAGCTAGGAATAGATAAAGACAAAACATGTGATGTAGGTGGAGGTGGAGGTGGAAGTGATGGTGGAGAAACTAGTGAAATTGGAGGTGGATCGCCTAGATAATACAGTTCATCTCTCTCATGTCCCCTGGTGATAATCCTCCTGATACTCAAGTCCTGCAAATAATATGAATCAGATAAGAACACAACTGCACAGTGAAAATCTCTGGCTAACTGATGTACAGATAATAGATTCATAGTTAGCTTTGGCGCATGAAACATCGAACGTAATATAAAGTCATCTAGGAAGCGAACTGTACCGATACTAACAATAGGAGCATGTGTACCATCTACTAACTGAAGTTAAGTATGTAACTGTTCGTCAAAAGTGGTGAAGTGATGGGCCTCACATGTCAAATGACCATTCGCACCTGAGTCCAACATCCAAAGGAGAGATGGACTGGCGCAAATATGAAAGACACAAGGTATACCTATAGTAGTCACAGCAATAACAGTCGAATCTTGAGAAATCAGGGCTGAAATAAGTATATCCAAGCGAGAAGTGATAACATCCATATCACTCTGCCAAGGAGGAACAGTAGTAGTAGTAGCAAGAACAACGACTATAAGTGGTGGTGCCTCAGTAATGACAAAGATACAACTGCGAGGAGGCAACTTAAGCTCCGGATGGAGCTTCCAACTAGCAGTCCAAAAATGTTCTAGTCAGCCACAATAATCATACTGACGAGAATCCCCCTGTCTACGCTGATGTGGGGTACCTTGACGGCATTGGGCAGAGTGCTATCGAGTCTTGTACCCGGTGGAAGTACTAATAGAAGTCTCAATAGTAGAGGTCTCAACGGTAGAAATCTTATGTCCCTTAGTAGTAGTCATATCAATAATAATACTAGGGCATTCGTGATAGAAAAATAATTCTAAGATAAATAGAGAGATAAAAAAAGAAGAATATTATACTTCCAGTTGAACCGTAACGACAAATAAAAAAAGTCCAAAAAACTCTCAAATAATCAGGTTACAGTGCCCAAAAATTCAGTAAATATATAAGTGATCTACTGCATCAAAAATAGATCAACAGAGAAGAGGATCTGACTCCTCTTAAAAAAGTCCTAGATGTTGCACCTTAGGAAAAAGAAATCAGTGACGTGAAGAGATGACAACATTGCACTGAAGAACTCAAAGCACAAAGGCGTGACAGATTAACGCTGAGACTGCCTAAGCGCGAGCTGGGTGCTGCTCGGGCACTGGGTTGGTCGAAAGCTGAACTGTGGGCTGAACTGTGGGCTGGGTTTATATGTACAGTGTGCTTTGTTTGTTTTTTTAATAAAGCTGGTTTGGTGAATGGGCTGTCGGTGAGGTTTGGCTGGTTTAATAGAGTATGCTGGTCGGTGGGTAAGGTATGGAGAGCAACCGTTGATTTGTCGCTGAGGTGGTGGGCAGTGCGTATAAGGCCAGACAGTCGGTGTGGTTTGTGGAGTTGAGGCAGTCGGTGATGTTGTTGATTTAATGCTGGTTCGCTGGTTCGGTGGAGTAAGGTGTTGCTGGTTTATGGTTTATGGTATATGGTTGTCGTTGGTTTATGGTTTATGCTGGGTCTGTTGGTGTTATGGTTCTGGTTGCTGGTTTGTTGTTGGGTGTGGCAGTATGTTGGTGTGGCTGAAGGTCGTTGCTGGTGGCAGTGTGGTGCCTGGTGGCTGCAACATGAGGGGCTAGGGTGGCTCTGATACCAACTTGAGATAAATGTGAGTAAAAAGGGATACGAACTAAGTGTAAAACCCCGTGTATATATATATATATAGCCAATAAAAATTATAATAAAGATAAAAAAAAAACTCTAATAATCCCTAATAAACTATGCTACTATAATTCCAACAATAACATTTGTTAACTCCTAACATCACTGTCATTAATTTAACTCCGAGTCCCAGTAGACCCATAGTTGAGAGTCATAGTTAAATCAATAACGGTGATATTAGGAGTCAGCAAATGTTGTTAATATTTTTGTCTAAATAATATTGCTCATTATTTTTGCTGACTAACAGCTGGTAATTCCACATGGTTTTGTGTGGTTTATATATATACTTAGTTACCTTGTCAATTTATGTAAACACCTGGTTGTGTCTATGGAATTTTCATTTGTGCTCCAGTTCATTTTTTATATATGTTGCAGTGGTTCGGTGTTTTGCCTTTGCTTCATTTTTGCACTGCCGATGAATATATATAGTTGTGATTAATAATGGATATAGGGAGATGAGCTTGACGACGAGTCTAATGTGTCAAAATATGACATGATATTTGTTTTTATAAACGAGTGAATCCGATTCAACATGATTAATAAATGAATAAGGTATATATGAAGTCAATCAAATAAAAAACATATGACATGATTTATTTATATATTTTTTATATATAATTTATACACAATAGAGTCTAATATAACACGATTTGTAAGACATGAATTAATGAACAAATCGAATATATATAAAATATTTTTGTATACTCAAAACGAACTCGTCTCATCCGACACGATCAATTTACCCTCAAAGATTTGAAAAGACTGTCCACTAAAATTAAAATCCTAGATTCGTACCTAAGTACGAGATTGAAGTTTGATAATGTTGGTGGACTCACCTATGCAGCTTATGAATTTGTTGGATATTTATGTTATGTTTTTTTTTTTTTAATCCATTGTACATGGCTCTTTCAACTATTTTTGTTAAAAAGATATTGGTCTTATCTTCATATTTGGCATGTAGGTGAACACTACTATACCTGCGTGCCGTGTTGTCCAGTTTAGACAACGAGGGCCTTCATGTTATCAATAGTGGTGCTATACTTAGCCAAGAAATTATCAACTATTTTATACGCAGAAAAACATTGTTCAATGGAAAAAAACCGCACCAACACCACGTAATGACATTGAAATTACGGTTAGCCACGGATTAAAGGGCTCATACACTACTCCTTTCCTAGCATGGAACATTTTATATTCGTCAAATCTCCTCAAATACAATTTTTTTTTATTTTATTTCTTGGCAAAATACATTTTTTTTAGGTCAACAGTTAAGGGTATCTAAATTAATTTATGTACAATTTGACTAATCCCTTCCTCGATTCAGTTAAAAATAGATCATCAATGACAAAATTAGAATATTCATGAGGGATAAATTCTTTTAATCTGACCACAAGTGATTGCTAATACTCAAATTTAAAACATTTAAATTTTCAACTCGTTTTTATTATTACTTAACTTGCCTTTTGAAAATTTGACAAGTCACATTCATTGTAGATAAATCGGTCCCTCTTTAATGCTAAATTTATCCTTGTTAATTTTGTGTCAATTTTGTGTCATATACTTGGCTAGTGCCTAGATTTGCTGGCCAAGCGGCAACAACTATCAAAGCGTGTGTGCAATATATAGGGGGCATCAAAAACATTTTCCCAAAGTATTAGGGCCACTACGCGAATTTGCAAATATATCAGGGACCTCATCTGAAATAAATCGAAATCAAATAAAGGACTAAAATGAGAGCCACGAGACAGTGAGCGAGCGAGCGAGAGGACGGACGGGAAGACGAAGAAGGTGAGGAGAAAGCAAGAAAGAGAAAAGAACCAGTCGGCAATGATCTTTTCAAACCCCTAATCAAAGCTTCATCTCTCTCTCTCTCTCTGATTTGAATGTAAACATATATATGTTCATGCTTATGATAGCTCAAATACATATAGATAGACCCATGCTTGTTCGACAGATCACTCCTCAAATCCACTCTCTTCTTTATCGTCTTCATTTTCATCACTGTAATTTCGACCTTCTTGCCCCTCCGATCGTCTCCATTTTTCAGATCCACCCACTCATAATTGCCCTGCTGTGAGGGGGCAATTCCTCTCAGATCTGCCAAAAGCAAATTCAAAAGCCCCATCAATGGACGACCTTGAAATCTTAGCCAGAGACTTTGGGTTTAAACCTCAAGGCAAATCCAACCCTATGAAATCATCCAGTCTCCGATCAGACGGTCCTCCCCCTCGCTCCGCTGCTCGATCCTCAACGAACTCATCCTCACCGTTCATCAACGACAGTCACAACGACCCATTATTCAACGACGTCTTCGGGGGGCCACCGAAGTACACAAACAGCAATAAAGAGAAGTCTTCGTCGCTCTCTGATTTTGATTATGATTCAATGTTCAAGAGCACAGAGGCAAACGAATCGAAGAATAAATCAGCTTCGGCGGTGCCCGTTTACGATAAGCCGGTGTATGATGACGATATATTCGATGGACTGCCTGGGTTGAAGAGCAAATCGACGTCGGCTTCGGTTAGGTATGGTGAGAATGTGTTTGCGTCGATGGCTTCACCGCCAAAGCAGAGTGATCAGTTTGATGATATTCTTGGGAATTTGGGAAGGACCGAGAAGGTGGAGTCGAGGAAGAGTAAGAGTTCGAGGGGTTTGGATGATCTGTTGCCTGGGTTTGGTAGTGGCGATCCAACCAGTAATAGTAGCAGGTATTACATTTATGTATTTGGAGTCTTCATTTTTAACTGCTTACATGCTCAAGTGGGTTTAGATGTATTGACATGTTGTGAGGTGGTCATTGTTCAAGTGGGCTTATATTTCAGACAGTATTTGTTTAGAAGAATTATATTTTGTTTAGTTAGTACGTGATTCAAGTTAAATTGTTATCAATATTTTGTATATTTAGTTCATTGAGAGGTATAGGAATCAATAATGTGGTTATTCACGCACGCATGGGCCTTTTTTTTCTTTCCAAATTTAATAGGATTTTGAGGAAGATTTTAAAATGTAGGAATATGTGCATACCAACTCAAGGTTAAATAAGTTGTATGAAATTAACAAAGCTTTCCTATCCAAAAAAGCAATGGACAAAGCTTCTAACTTGAATTTGTAATGATATGCGTATCAAGTGTGAACTGTTTGTACCAGATAGTGCCTTGGAATTCAAGTTATAAACACTAGTCATATTATTATAATTGTCGTCGAGCATGTCAGTATCTGTATGATCACACATATAGTTAAAATTCATTATAAAGATGCACTTTTGGGTTTTGTCTGGATGAATACTTTACATTCCTAACTCTAGGAAGCCCTTTCACCTCATGGGTGATGTTATGCATGGTGTCAAGTGTTCGTACATAGAAGATGTTATGCAAGATTGATAATGTCCTGCATTTTCCATCTATGTATTGTTTTTTGCTTTGACCGCTACTGTTAGAAGTTCTGGGATTGGCATTGAACGCACTTGTCAAATTTCATTGCGCATCCCAACATAAATGAATCTGGTACGTGGATCCAATGTTTTGCTTTGATGAACTACATAACATGATTGGACACATCGGAGGTAATAGTGCCCGGAATATTTTGCAACTTCCTTTGGTAATCTTATCGTTATCAGGAGGGCTTGGAGTTTTTAATTGACAGTAATATTTGATGTGTGAGGAGGGTTTGCTTCTCATTGGAAAAGTTTATTTTGTGTGTATAGGGGTGTTTGAGGAATCATCAGCAGTGCTAATTTGCAGAAACTTCCAGTATTATTTTGGTACATGACGGAAAAATATAGCCACATGCTCGAACTGTACAATTTTTAATGTTTAGTAATCTGTTTACATTTGTATGAGATGACAAGCTTGGCATGCTATGAAAGGAACTCAACTAATGTTTAAAAGTACTGTGGTAAACTCCTTTCAAAAGCTCCTCTGAAGAAAGGTAGCCATTTGCCATTAGATATGGTGACAAAGTATTTCGGTCTTTTTCTGCAGTACACTGAGTCACATGCAATAGTTTCTGTGCGGTTGTACAGAAATGAGAAAATGTGTGCATGTGTATTAATTTGGATGTCCAGTTTGACATTGTCTTTTCAGTTTTTTTTCTCACTCTCAACTTTGGAAATAATTTTTAAGTTTTGGCTAAAAGTTCATATTCTTTTGAAGGTTCTTTTTTTTCGTATTAGAGGGAAAGGAAATTTTTTCTGTCTTTCCAAAAGGATAATAATTAGAAGAGAAAAAGGAACAATTTTTTCAAAGAAAACATTACTTGCTTGAAAGATTTACATGTAACAGGAATCCATGAATAGTCATCTTCCCTGTGTTTGGGAAGGATAATTTCTGAGAAATGTTCTAGAAACTTGCAGATTAAATTGGAGTAGATTAACTTTTTAATTACTTCTCTCCTATGCTTCTGAAAAACCTCCTCATATCTAAGTACTTGTTTGCAAGGATCAAAATTTTGTTTTGGTACATCGTTTCGATTATTTAGGAAATGGAAACGATTTGAAAACGAATAAAAAAATTGAGAATATATTTTCAACACATTCTGAATCATTGGTCGAAATGTAATGAAACGTGTTGAAACAGCTCGAAACAGTGGTGGAAACATATTGAAATATTTTAATACATTTTGAATCACCATGAAACACCTCAAAATATTGGAATTTCAATTCAATCACTAAATAGTTTCGGTGCTCTTAGAAACAAAACATTTCAACCGTTTCAAAACGAAATTTTGATCCTTTCATGCGTGCCAAAAAGTACAAATTTTATGGCCAAAAGAAGTCCTTGCTGCTTTATCCAATCCAACACTTAATATAAGGTAAAATGGGGTTTATTATCTTATGGCGTTCTATGGCATGCTTGGACTTTTGCTTCAGAGTGATGTTTAGATTCTTCTGTGTGTCTTTGCATTATCATCCACTTTGGTATTATGTCTTGGAACTATGAAGGCATTGTAGAGGAGATGAGGCTAACAATTCTCTAGAAATCATATAATCCATTTATTGTAACGTACATGGCATGCACGCCATCTAGTTTGCCATATTTGGATATGTCTTTATCATGTGCTGCACAATGCTCAATGTTTTTGATAGGTATCAGTTGATAATGTTCAGCTTCATGTTTCGTTTTGCACAGGCCGATTCCAGATTCAAGTCAACCCCCGAGGTCAACTGGCAGTACAAATCAAACAACTTCTACTGTGATGGATGACCCTTTTGTAGTTTTAGAATCAACTTCAACTCCTGCGGCTTCATCCACAGGGTTGTTTATAGATCCACTGGAAGAGATTGGTAAGCTTGGTAAATCTGGAAACACAAAGGCTGACAATTCATCTGTTGGGGGAGCAGTATTTGATGATATAGATCCCCTCAATGGTTTTGGCAAATCTGTGCCTGCATTTTCCACCGAGAGGAATAACAGGGGGAAGGATGGGAGCCCTTCGAGGGCAGGATCAAGCATGAGTGGGAATCAAATTTTTGTTAGTAGAGAACAAACTGGGAAATCTTCTTCTAGATTTTCTGAGAGCCACTTGCAGAAGAAGGTTCCTGATGAAAATTTTCAGGAATCTCCTCAAACCCACTTTGACATGCCCACTGTTTCAGCAGATTCACATACATCTTTCAATCCAACTGCTTCTTCCCCCTTGGACATAGATGCTTACTTTAATGAGACACACCCCCAGGTAGATATGTCTCTGAGATCGGAAAAACAAGTGCAGTCATCTGATGACGTATGGCTTTCAGTATCAGAGATCCCACTTTTTACACAACCTACAAGTGCTCCACCACCTTCAAGACCCCCTCCTCCAATACCCAGGCAGGGTTCAAAATCAGAAACAGGTTTCTTTTCCTCAAATGCTAGAAAGAAGGGTGAAGAATTTTCTCCTTCCCCAACTTACACTCTTTACTCTCAAAGTCCTAAACTCTTCCATCCTGCAGTGAAGAGCTCTGTAGCTTCTTCAGCAGATGAAGTTGAGGATTTTGCCATGGGTGGAGCCCAAAATAACATCGATCAAAATACCGATGTTCAATCTGGTGAGGAAATGAACACGAACTCTGCAGCAGCAGCTGCTATGAAGGAAGCTATGGATAAAGCTGAAGCTAAGTTTAGGCATGCAAAGGAAGTAAGGGAGAGAGAATATGCAAAGGCTGCTAGAAATAAAGAAGCTGTGCAGCTGGAAAAAGATGAACAGACCATGCAAGAAGCGCAAGAGAGAGAATTCAACGAGAACCAGGAGCGATCAGATCATGAGAGGCGACAAAGGGAAAAGGAAGAGGAAGAGAGAGAACAGAGGAGACTTGAGAGGGAGAGGGAGAGAGCAAGGGAGATTGAAAGGGAAAGGGCCAGACAAGTAGTGGAAAGGGCTACTAGGGAAGCAAGGGAAAGAGCAGCGGCAGAGGCGCGCGAGAGAGCAACTGCTGAAGCTCGGCTGAAAGTTGAAAGGGCTGCAGTTCAGAGAGCACAAGCTGAAGCCCGTGAAAGGGCAGCGGTGGAAGCTAAAGATAGAGCAGAAAAGGCTGCTGCAGAAGCTAGGGAAAGAGCAAATGCAGAAGCAAGGGAGAAAGAAACGAGGGAGAAAGCTGCTGTTGTAAGGGCTGAAGCTGATGCTCGACGTAGAGCAGAACGAGCTGCTGTTGATAGAGCTGCTGCAGAAGCCCGTGAGAGGGCTGCTGCAGATGCTCGAGAGAGGGCTGCTGCTACAGCAAGAATGAACCAACAAAAGAATGATAATGATCTTGAATCCTTCTTCAGCATGGGATCTCGAGCAAGCAGTGCACCAAGGCCAAGGGCAAATCCTTCGGTCAGTACAAAGGCTGCTGCATAGGCCATCTATATACTGAGTTCTGTCACAATGTAGTGTTGTTGTTCATTGTGTGTTTGTCATTTGTTTGATCCTTATTTTCAGGACCCTGTTGTGGATCCACAACCCCAGGGCAGGGCAGCACCTGAAGCTGCAAGGCAGACATCTTCTTCAGGTGGTGCCTCATCCAATTTGAGAAAAGCATCTTCCACCACTAATATTGTTGATGATCTTTCTTCAATTTTTGGAGGTATGTCATATCTATTTAATTTGGTAAGTCCTTTTCTTGCTAATTTGTCACTTGCTGAACAATCTACTTTCACAAGGTGCTCCTTCATCTGGAGGCTTCCAAGAAGTTGAAGGGGAAAGTGAAGAAAGAAGAAGAGCTAGACTACAACGCCACCAACGCACTCAGGAGCGAGCGGTACATCTTTTTCTGCCACAAGATGTTTATAATTTGTGTCAACATGTCCAAGGATTAGTTGAGCTCTGAATCTTAGTTTTCTGTTTCTTTTTGGTTTTGAGTAGGTAGCTCAGAATCTGAGTTTGAATGTTTATACGGGAAGTTATACTAGTATATTTGTTGTTTTTTTTGTTTACCCTTGGGTTCCAGTATTGATTGATGTGTTTTTTTCCTCAGGCTAAAGCAGTGGCTGAAAAGAATCAGCGTGACCTTCAAGTTCAGAGGGATCAAGAAGAAAGACATGTAAGTACCTTAAGCATCTTAAAATATATTTCTGGGCCTTTGACTTTTGCCTCCATAGATGGACGAAAATGCCATGCCCTCACTTCATTCTACGAAAACATTGGGACTTCATATATCTTCTGTGGTCCTTCATCCTTCATCGGGTTCATCCCTTTCCATCCAAACCTTACCCCTCTCTCTCTCTCCAAATTACCAACAGGGACAGTATTGGGTGTTGTTAATTTGATGGCATCATCAGGATTTCCATTAACTGCATCAATGAAACCCTACTTCTGGCACTTACTATTAACAAATCTTCATCATTGTTGTGTAACACTAAATGGTGTTTGTTATTGCATTCGCCACAATTTTTCTTGGATCATCTATAGCCATCTTACTATTCTTAGTCTGCAATAAATGGTAACATAGGCACCACTATTCTGGCCTGTTTGTAACTCATAAATACTTAGGCATCTCTCTGAATCTCTCAATTTAAGTTTATGGTCCGCACCCGGACAAATACAGATTTTTCTAGCAGCGTCGGATTTGGCTTTTCATCTTTTTGGCAATCCATCATCTGTGTTATCATTATCTTGAAACTTGGTTGACGTCTTGTGAGTTTTTATATTTTAAACTTTGGTTTGGATTACAGAGGATGGCAGAAACATTAGACAGCGAGATTAAGCGTTGGTCTGCAGGGAAAGAGGGAAATTTACGTGCACTACTGTCAACATTGCAATATGTGCGTTTGATTATCTCCTATATCTCGTGTTTAGACTTCTTTGTATTGCTTGAAAATTTTCTAATGCTTGCTACATTGCTAATTGTGGTGTTTGCATTCTATTCAAAACGTTTTTTTTTCCTTTTCCATTTTCTTTCAGTGGACAAACATATAATCTGTGTCTCTTCTTTTTTGCATTGGAATTTTGAGTAAAAGCTTTATCCTTCCTTGTTTGAGATGTGATTGCAGCTTTTTTTTCCTTTTTCTTGCCTTTTCCTCTGGCCTGGTCAAGTTTATTTCGTTTGCTTACTGCTGATTTTGCACATGGGTTATAGTACAGATGGGTTGTTGATGTTGTGAACTATGCTTCATCATTGTAGGTGACTAGGTACAAGTAAAACAAGAACTGATAATTTAGGAAAGTTGTAGGAAGAAGAATACTAGCGTAGTTCCCTGGTAAAGATTTAAGGGCATTAAAAGGTATGCAACTAAAGAATGATAAGGCACTTTAGGATTGGATTTCAAGGTTTGCTTCTGGAAAGACAATTGTTTAGAACATAGCTGTTGACTTAAGTGTTTGAATGTTGAATATTCATGTATTACACTGGACCCTCTCCGGGAGTGAATGTACTGGGAAAGGCGAGCTCTTAATTTTCTTTCTGTGCTACAAGTACAAGTAGTACTGCCAATGCTCTTGGGTGACTTATTTTGTTTTTTTTTTGGGGGGGAGGGGGGAACTTAGTGAAAAAAATCTAGTTGGTGGTTTTTTTTTGATTTCAAATAATGCATCTGTGTTGAGGATGAGGATTAGCATCATGTGTATGTTTTGCAGCTGTCTTTTCTATGAACACTATAAATTCTTTGCCCTTTTGGTGAATCTTGTTTTTCTCTGGCCTCTCGAGGAACATGCTTTTGTTAGTCAGTCCTTGAGGCTGTGAGTGTTATTTTAGAGTGTTATGCAATCTTATGGCCGAAGTTGGATAAAGGAATAATGCCCCTCCCTTTCTATTTTAAAGTTACTTCTGGATCCAAATGAAATGATACATCATAATACTGGATGTCCCTGAGGGTGGGTCTTAAGTTTGAGTAACAGAAACAACTCCGCATGCGGGGTAACACTCCGTACTCCTAACCCTCCAGACCAGTGGCGGGAGTTACATGCACTGGCCACCCTGAAAATATTGAATTTCCCTGAAAGAGAATCTTGCGTGGCATTTAATTTGTTGACTCGAATTCTACCATGATTAATGCCTTATACTATGGTCGAGTCAAAATTTTAATTTCAGTTTCAACCTTTCAATTACCATGACAACAATAATTTGAAGGAAATAATACAATTCTAGAAAGTTCCAAATTGTTTTTCCTGGAAAACCATGACCAATTGGTTGAGTTCCCATCAAATATGAATGATTGTGAATGGCAAATATTTGTTTCTTTACAAAAATGGTTTTTACATGTCATGCAATTCTTATGCTGAACTCTGGCTTTGTTGGGTATTTGAGAATTGTATTTTTGCTGTTGCCCTTTTGTTTGTGATAAAGAAGCTAACTGTGCTGGTCCCCTTTTGATTGATGACAGGTGCTTTGGCCTGAGTGTGGTTGGCAGCCTGTTTCTTTGACCGATTTGATTACAGGTGCCTCAGTTAAAAAAGTTTATAGGAAGGCGACTTTGAGCATTCACCCTGATAAGGTGCAACAAAAAGGTGCCAGCCTGCAACAAAAATATATTGCTGAGAAGGTGTTTGATCTGCTTAAGGTACTTGTATGAAAATTAGAGAATTCAGATAATTTTTTCTATGAACATTGCCAGTGTAGGGCTTTAAACATGACCTTGGTGCTTGCTATCATTCATTTGCTGGATTACTGAACTTATGAGAAAAGGTCACATAAGTATTGAGTCATAGAAGCTCTATTAGCATTGTCAGTCAATTATGGAGGCAAAATATCACAAATAATTTGAATTCATAACAGATTTTCCTATATTACAGTAATAATTTCTTTGTGCTTAATTTTGGCATATGTTTAATGAGATAGTAGTTTGCTGTTCACTTTTGTATTGCCTGCAAAGTCAAATATATTCCTCGTTTCTTCAGTGAAAAGAAATGGCTTCTCAGTTCTCATAAAATAAATTTTTTTCTAGTTAATTGAGATTATGTATGTACTAACCTTGTGTTTATTTAAAGTTCATCAGATTTGATATTCATTACCTTTTTTCTCTTTGCATGAAAGGTATTTTCTTAGGTTTGCTCCATTTTTATCTTTATTTTCTTAGGTTTTGCTCCATTTTTATCTTCTTTTTTTCAGTTCAGTTGCAGTTTTTTTTATATAGAAAATTCTGTTGTGGATTATCTCATTGTAAGTTTGGTATGTTAAAATAGGAGGCTTGGAACAAGTTTAATTCAGAGGAGCTTTTCTAAATGCTTTGAGCATTCATTAACTTTAATCGACTACATTTGGAAATCACACCATTTGTTGGGGGCAAGAAATGCAGAAGTGTTCCCCCGCATGTATTTTATATCTCCACTGCTCCGTGCACCTGGTGGAAGTAGGCAGAATGTGGACTGCTGAAGAAGTCCTTAATGGGTACTGAGCTGCATGAATGGTGAAGTACGCATATATACTTTTGTTGCTGTAAATTGATTTATGCCAAAGAAATATGGGGTGTGCGATGTTGTAGTGTAGAATGATTTCATTCCCACCTACGCTAGCAGATTTCATCATCTGCCTCATGTGCTTCCTCAGATGAATTCTTGTATTTTTGTCGATTCTTTTTTGTTTCTTCCTTCTTGTCCAGTTTCCATTGATGGTATTGTGTTTATGGATATGAGACACTGTAATGAGCCTGTGTATTGTTGTAAAAACCGAGAATTATTTGAGCTGGATCTTCAGTATACCATTTTTGGTCATCAAGTTCCAGTTTTATTTGTCAGCAGAATCACCCTTTGGTTTTCTTTTGATTGAATTCTAGTAGCGTCTATTCTTCTTGAATATGATAGTCACAATGTTTTTTTAAGTGTTGAGTTGTATGATGTGGAAGGTAAAGAACATCATCGAAATATGCTGTGTGCGTGTGTGTGTTTTTGTTGAGAAAGATCAATGTTGTATACTAAAAATGTGCACTAAATTATCTGTAGTCGTTGGATTAGCGGGTTTCATCACTGATCTAATAACTATAGATAATTTAGTGCACATTTTGGAGCACATAGTTTTATGTGTTGAGAAATTGAAGTTGGCTGCTGATCCAGATGTTGTCATGACCAATGTACAATAGTTAAACATGGCAGACTTGACACAACATAATATATATATATATATATATATACATTATAAATAAATCGAATATGAATTGAATAAATTTTAAAACATTAAGATTTAGATACATGCACAGAATTTCAACATCAATCCTTGAAATTTGACCAGCACAGCCTTTTGCTATTATGCAAATTTCACAGACAATCAACCTAGTTTTTGAATTACTCTCATATTTTTCACGAGTTTTGTTCTGTACAAGTAAGTAGTTATTTTTCTTTTTTGGTAAACGAGAAATCTCTCCAACATAAGATCACTTTGAATTCATTCAACAAACTTTAGATATTTACAATTAACTACAAATTACGAGTATCAATTAAATTTGAGAGACACCAAGAAAGATTGACCTTAAGGAGCTATTGTTTTAATAGGACAATCTATTTGCCTTTTTTGTTGGCGGCCAATAGTCTATTTGCTAAGTTGAATAAGTGCTAAATGCTGCAGACAATCGACCTGAATTTGGCATTACACTTGCCGCCACCTTTAGCCACCACCCCACCACCCAAGTCAATACTTAAGCTGCCAAAAAAAGCCTACTTAAACTCAACAAGACTCGAGATACATCCCAGGACTTGTACGATTTAGTTATCTTATCAAAAATATATTTTTATTATTATTTTCTTAGGAATGTGACGGATTGTAACACTCCAATCCCATTACACTATTATTATAAAGATAAAATTTAGGCAATCATGCTTTTATTAAAATATTATAACATGACACTTAAAGAAAACCCATCTTAGAAATATTTATCATAGGATCACTTTTTTTTTATAAGTGCGCAGCACACAGACCTACTACTATGTAGAATATACATATCCTAAAAATATTTACAAGTGTTGCTTACATGATAAAATCAAAATATTGACATCATATACAACTCAAAAAAAATTTTTTTTTTTAGAAGACAAAAGAAACTGACACGAGCCCTTCCCGACACTCCTGACTGGACTGCTAGTTGTGGTAGCGGATTGCAAGCTTGTGTACAGTTTACCTAAAAATATTTCAAGCAAATTTCAGTGAGTTTTCATTAATGATTTCAGAGATAGAACAAAGAAAGTAATGTGATGTCCTTGTTCATTTATGGAATTTTAATATTCGCGTTTCCATATCTTTTCTCAAAATTGTATTTCATTGCGCTACGGTTTCACACAGAAATAATCCTCTTGCCATCCAGGCAATAAAACACCTCACAATAATATTCTTGGTTCTATAACTTTTCTCAAAGTTTTGTTTCATTGCGCTACGGTTTTACATAGAAATAACCGTCTTGCCACTCAGACAATAAAACACCACACAAGTAAATCATTATATCAGTATATGATCGTCACTCAGACAGCTTAACAACATATATCCATTTCTCGATATTCTATTCTTTTTGAACAACTCACATTACATCAAAAATTTAGTTTCCGTCACTTATACGAAATCAGTTTTAATTTATCTCAGTCACAAGGATAAATTTGAACACTTAGGTCACGTTTAGTCATGTAGACATCGCAGTCTAATAATTCACTTTCACCCCCTTTGACGTCTTTGATACGCAAATAAAATACGTCACGTAGACATCCGACCATTTATTGTCTCAACCATTTGATTTTTCTTTCAGCTTGTCACACAGACAACTAAACGATAGTATTATAATCTGTCACAAAAACATCGTATTCCTATTGTAACATTAGAATACTTAAGTCATTTACTCACAATAGAACTCATAAGCTAGAAAGTCACATAGAAATAAATAAATCTTTACATATAGATAAAACCAAATGTTAGCGTACATACGTACCTTGCCGAAAATTTACTGTGTTGATGACTCCTCTGTCGAAACTTTTTGAGCAGCGTTCTTTACGGTGCTCGTCCCTAAACCTACCACTCATTATTCAAAAACTCATTCGAATATAAATAAATAATACCGCTTTACTCGAATTGGTTTACACAAAGTCAATCGCTTCATTTAATCAATCCACATTCAATCACTCATCCACATCTAGTAATATCAATTACTCAAAAAACAAAAATAAATAAAATAGTAGTTATAATCAATTCGAGTCACGTGAGAGTAATCCATTCATAGCTAGTAAGATTATCCACTCGAAGCCATGACATCCAAAATAAACATTTCTCGTAAAATTATAGAAATCAAAATGTAGTTGAATCTACATAATTTTCCAATAAAATCATAAAATTGCATGAAAATTTCATATCCATAAATTTCATGAAAATTCAAGAATAATGAACAAAAATTCTAATTATAAATACCCAACAAAATCATACAAGTGTATGGAGATTCTATACCCATAAATTTCATGAAAATTCAAGAACAAGTAAAAAAAATTCTAAGTACCACCACACTTCAATTTTTTTTCTTTTTTTTTTACAACAATACTAATTTAATTTACACACCCACATAAATATCAAGATATAATTTTCATGCATTAATCAAACCTCATACCCAACATCATACATCCATATACAACATCTAACCACATACAAAATATCATATTTGAAACACATGCAACACTCAAAATGTCTAAATAAAAATAGAATTTTTTTACATATTAGAAGAAAGAAAATGAATCATAATTCTTACCTTATACTTGCACTTTATTTTTTTTTTCTTTTCTTTTCTTTCTTTCCTTTCTTTCCTTCTTCTACCCTTGGTTTTCTTCTTCTTTCCTTCTTTGTTCTTGGTCTAGCCTAATATCCCATAGTGCAACCCCCCTTTTTTTTTGTTTCTTTATTGCATGCAAGACATGCCTCGCATGTCTTGCTAAGTGGGACTAGCAATCATGACTTTTTTTTTTATATATATATATATATTATATATATATATATATATATATATATATATATATATATATATATCATACATATATACAATTATATGTATATATTTATAATATACATTCAAATTATTAAATTCCGTCTCTCGGACCCTTAACCACTCATTGTATATACTAATACATTTTATTCTATTACCATTTGTTTTTATAACAATAAATTGATGTCACATGCTTGTCACCCAAATTAATTCCACATGCGCTAAAAAATATTCATCATTCAGGTTTAGGTCTCATATCATTGCTCATAATTAAATACTAAACGTTAATCCTACGCATGTATGTCACATGTGAATATGTTTATGACAAATATTATATATTGGTCATGTGTGTTCGGGTTTTACATGTATAATGTTTGGATAAATTATAATTTATACCCTTCAAATATGTACTAAATTTTTTATTTGGTCTTTGAAGTTCTAATTGTAACAATCAAACCCTTAGAGTTAATTTTTTCAACTTAGCTCTTTTATCAAAATTTCTTTTTTATTATGACAAATTATGTTCTGTGACCAACACATATCTTCAGTAAAGGAATTATATTTGTTTGATGAATTCTTTTTTTATGTATACGGTATAAATTCTTACTCTATTCTGTTTGATTTTGAGAAAAAAATATAACAAATAAAAAATATATATATAGAGCGAGAATTTGAGAGATATTGTGAGAGAGAAAAGAAAAATATTAATATATTTGAGAGAAATCTTTTTGCAAGACAAATATATTTTTGTGGGCAAGTGCTATGACATTCTTTTGTCGGAACAAATCTGAATAAAATAACTTAATTGACACGCGGTTAAAACTTTAAAATTGTAATTGTTTACATTAAACCTTCAAAGATCAAATGAAAATTATAAACAAACAAGTATTAAACTTATATCTACTTTTTGAGAGAATCTCATTTTATACAGCAAAAAATTTAAAAATTTTTATTTTATACCTTTAAAAATTAAATTTCTCACGTTACAAACTCTATGCATTAAAAATATTACAATGTTAGTTTGTGTTATTAATTTTGTCAATTAAAAATTTAATCTTTTTCGCCCCAACTTTCCTAAACATTGGAAAAGGTGCCTCTCACGCTCTTTGAGGGCACGTGAGACCTAACTCCTCGACCAGCGGTAGGAGAAAACATGTAATCAGATTAAATAAAACAAAACCCTAAGGGGCCGTTTTGTGTTTTTGTATTGTATGGTATGGCAGTACTTAAAATGGTGATGGTCTCTAGTTGGTGGTTTATTTCTATGCATTACTGCAAACTTGAGTGGAAAAATTTGGCCCCGCCTGCTGGTGGCATTGATAGGCCAACAGTGTACGCATATCAGGTGGTCCTTGGCCTTTTGTTAACAACACAGATGATACCACTCATGGATTGATTAACTTTCAGCATTATTATGTGAGAGAGAGAGAGAGAGTGTGTTAGATTATTTTAGCTGGTCTAATTTGCCGGCAAGTTTTTTTTCTTTTCTATTGGAGGATTAAAGTCAACTATAACTCTTTTTGTTTTTAAAGTTTTTTTTTTACTCCTTGTAATTTTGGCTTACATCAATATATTCTCTCATTTAAAAAAAAAAAAAAACATAAATTGATAGACAAAAATGATTATTAAACATTTTTTTTGTTTAACTATTTACCGCAAAACAAAAATTTACCAAAAAGCAAAAACGTTACGGAACGGTTCCTAAACTTTCCCCTCCCTCTCCGGGGACTATGTCGACGGAGGGCCGAAGAAAGAGAAAGAGAGGACCGATGCAAAAGTGCCCAAGTTGGGAGGTTTGATTTGCTCCCCATGTTCTTCTGAGCCGAGGAAAACAAATCACAGAATTACATATAATTTGGCGGTGATAGTGTTGAGGAGACTTAGAAATGCTGGAAAACCCTAGCACCCATTCTTTGTCATCCGCTGCCAACATCGCAACCATCAAGCCCTACGCTCATCCCAATCAGAGGTGCGTGTGTGCGTGCGTGTGTGTGTTCATGGATCTAGATGTAGCTTAATTTTGGAAATGATTGGCAAAAGTAATGATTTTTGGGTGGGCTCATGGTTTCCTTACATGCAGGAATCGTTCTCTCAGCCGGCGCAAATCTGGAGGAGGTGAGTGATTTATCAATACCTTATTTTTGGAAAGAAAATTATCTTGAAAGATGCTCTTGAAAATTATAGACGAGGGGAATAAATGCCTAAAAAAAATAGGGATGTAATGATAAAACTTACCATGTAAGAGCTTTACAGAAGTTCTTCAGGTAATTGAAATTCTGTATGATGAATGAACTAATTGGAACCCCTGTACATAAGTGATACAGTGCATCAAAGTAAGGTAATCTGTTGGTTTAAAATTGGAAAGATTAGAGTTTTTTTGGGTGTTGGTTGCCCAAATTTTAATGATAAATTATATGCTAGGTTAGCCTCTAGAGAATTTGAGTTCTCGTTTTTCCAGTTGAATTATCAGGTGATTAGGAACACAAACTTACTTCTTGTTCCTAAATTATACCACTCTTTTTCAAGACCCTGTTAATTGTGTAGAACTAATAGACGCTGATTGTATATCAGTGTGAGGTCTTTTTTAAGCACTATAAGCACGTGGGCTGATATGTTTGGTAAAAACTGCTGCCCATTAGTCCACTAATTGGGTGTTAGGTATCTGTTTCATTGTCTCGCGTCTATAAAACTATCAGAACTGGAAATTTTATGTTGAGACTTTGCAAGAATTTTAATTCTCGAGAGTTGCAAACTTGGCCGAGTTCTAACTTTGGTTTGGAGAAGTAGAATTCTCAAGGAAAAATGTATATTAGCCTTGTTTCTATTTTAATTTTTTAGGAGACTAGGACTTTGCAATTAAAAATAAAAAAACCACCCAACTCCTTGCAAAGGATTTTTTTAAAACCTATGGAGGATATTACTGCCTTCTTTTAGACTGCCATCGATTTTGACAAGTTAGAAAATTTCCATTGATCCAATGGGGCTTTTTTGATCCTTGAGTTTATTGGTGCATATTTATCCATGTATGTCAAGTATCTGGTTAACAGGACAGGACATTTTGAGCCGCATTCTGGTACAAACCATTGTACACACAATTGCCATCTTAAGTCCAAGAGTGGGGTGTACTCTTTTAGAAATTTCTAATACTTCTTTGCCTCCCCCTTTTCAGATAACTCTCCCAGATTTTATCCATACCTTCACTGCCTTTATGGAAATTTTTTGACATGTTGATATAGTTATACTCAACTTTGTAGATCGGCTTGAACGAGCAAATATATATGCAAATGACGGAGAGAAGAACCAAAATGCTGGCTCAAAAAATCTCCCTATTGTATATCATGGGAATGAAGGTGGCAACAATCGTGTTAATGTGGATGTTGCTCCACGGTTAATACCTTTGCATGGATGTTGTAACAGTGAAGCATTTCAGCTTCTTAATGACCGTATGTTTCCTCTATGTTGTCTACTTTGTCAATTGATAAGTCACTTTGATCATTTATGTTGTGTATCTTGTTTGCAGTCAATTGGATTTTTCCTTTTGTTCTTTTTCTCATTTCCTTTGGGCATCAGTCAACAAAATTGTGCATGAATGTTAAAAGGAAATATAACCTGCCAAAAGAGCAAACTCCGACATGAATTCTGTATACAACATTGTACCTTTAAATACCTGGAAGAATTTTTTTTGGCACTCACACACGCGCTCGTTTCCCACATCTTCTGACTGTAGTTTAGCTATAATGTTCACTGCCACCGGCAATTAATATTTTTTGATGTGTTATAATATTTTGCAAGACATTGTCAGCTGAACCTATATGGGTTGTTCGACAACTGCCTACTTGTGTTTATTATGCACCTGAGTGAAGTCATCCTAATCCGTGCTTGTTTAACTCTGAAACACATTGATTCTTAAATTGTCACATGTTCTCAACAAAATATGTGGCCATTCACGGAAATGATATAACAAGATCCAAGCACAAAGCATTATTTTTTTGACATGGCTGAGTTGGGCTAGTGTCATTATTAATGTCTATTGGTGTGATATAGCCTTGTATCAGACATGTATGCACTTCCCCATCTTTTCGGTTAGATTCATATTTACTTTCCATCCATCCTGGGATGACTTTAAGTACCTTGTTGTGGTTGTTTTAAGTTGATTCATTTCTCTGGATAACTATTCCTCATTTTCTTGGTATACAGGTTGGATAGCGGGGATGGACGCATACAACAATCCGTCCATAGATTTGGCTGGTGAGTAAGACATTGACTAAAGTTTCCAAATGCTTGTTTGCTTTTGCTGATTTGGCCATTTTATTTTCCGTTCATAGAAGATCAACTTTCATGTGGTTTGTCTATGGGATTTTTCCATAGAACTTGTTTATCATGTTGAAACTTGTAAGCACTAGCTTTTGGTTCCATACATGGAGTTCTGCATTCTTGTTTACAAAGAGCAACGTTTGGTGAGTCTTCACTGAAGTGAAATTATTCTACATAGGTGGTTTGGGTTCAAAAATGTTGATGGACATAGCCAAAGGCCAGTTAATAGAGCTTGCTTGTGGATAACGGTCAAACTTGAGTTTGTGGAGGTCATGCATTCATATTGATAAGCCAACTGTAAAGCGCATCAGTACCCACTATATTTATTTGTCTTTGCTCGTCTCCTAGTAGTGGAAGCCTTCCCAGTAAGTTAAAAGTTGTTTCTTGGTTTGATGTGATAACAATGAATGGTATCCGTGTAGGAATATGCTGAGTCATCTCAGATTCTAGAAAGGTGGCATTAGCTCGTATATAAAGGGCGGGGAGCCTGTATTTGGAGCTTTGATTTGCAACAATACCATATGAGTATTAATGAGATAAAATCCCTCCTGAAAAATAGTTTGATGAGAGATTGCGCATTTATTAATGACTAACCAGGTTAACCATTTGTGGGGTCAGCTAAACTAACTAGTCATTCAGATGATTTAAATGGGCACCGTCTTGATGTTTTTCTAGAAGTTTACTTGGGCAGAATAACCATTAAATCTTTCTCGGGATCCTTTTCAGTGATAGTTATATTACCTGGCTACCAATGTATGGATTTATGGTATCTGAGAAACTGGAGTACACCTCAACTAGTAACTAGTTAAGCAATATAGATCAATGCACCTTTTAGTCATCATGGAAAAGCTAGGTATTTTTTTTAAAGATCAAGCATTTGCTTTGGTGCAAAAAGGCTCTTACATTTTTCCATATTGATGGTTCAACAAGACCTTAGGGACTCTAGTTTGACATGCCATGAAGGTCATCTCATGCATAATTATTTTCTTCATCATGTCAAGAACTTGGCTCCCGTTCCAGTGAATTGAAGTCTGGAAGTGTCATCCAATATGAGAATCATAATCTCCCATCAAGCACCAACACTTGGTTTGGGTTGTGGGAATGAAATAAAATTTTCATATCAGAGCTTGAGAGTAAGTCTACTGACTTCCGAATGAAAACTTTGCTTGTCATGAACCCCATATCTAAAAGCATATCACGTGGGAATGTAGTGTGTAGGCTTGTAATGCAATGGCACAGATCATTTTATCAGTTTGACTGGTATTTGTCCTTTGTCTCCTATTTTATTTTTCAGAAAGGCCAGTCTTGTATACAGGAAGTGGTACATCAGCCTGGGGGATTGTTAGACTTCCACATCAGGTGAAAATGGAAATGTTCTTGTGATTTCATACTTCCCTACCCCCTCTTCCCCCCCAACCACCACGACACACACACAATGTTCTTTTTGACATTGTTTTTGATTAATGACTCCAAAGATCCCTTTTTCTGGTTTGCAGATGGATTTCTTGAGTGAACTCCGACATGCAATGCGCGATGCAAATGCCAGTTCTGATACCTAACAATCATGAATCTCAAACCTTACTTGAAGTTCATGTTTGTCTCTGGACTTGCAGAGTTCTATGAATTGTATGATTAGAGTTTGTTTGTATTTATTATGCGACCCTTCATATGTGCTACTTATACGGGTCCTTCATATCTACGTCATGCTTTATCTATTTCACCAAAACAATGCTCCACATATTCATTGTACGCATGGTGACTAAAGTCTTTGAATTACATATGTGTGTGTGTATACCATAGTGAATGGCTTCGTCAAAGACTGTATCAGTACGTAATATCTGTGAAGGTGAAGGTAGGAGTGGTACCACCGTTGGATGTCCTCGGCAAAAGCCCCCTTCTTGGTCTATGTGATATCTCATTCTCGATTGGTTCAATGGTTTTATTGTCCAGAATAAGGGAAAAGAAATTGCTTAGAAAGCCTCTTCATTTGTCTAATTCCCAAGTTTTTCGGTGACTCGGTGATTGAATTTTCGAACTTTTTTTAAGGCATTTGGTAGAACTAGTTTCTACTTCAAAGTATCTCAGGTCTGGTGATTGACCTAGAAAAATGATGATTTTGTAGTTTGTTTTGAAATGAAACCCATGAACTGCTAGGCGGATTTATACAAATTCGATGATTATAAATTTAATGATTATGATTGATTAAGTTAATAAATCATTTTAACAAAATAGGTGCAAATTGTATTTTTGAAATTAGAACTATTAACGAACGGAAAGTAGGGTGAATGTCTTACCTTTAAATAGGATTAGTTATAAATTGATTTGAACGAAAAAAAAAAAAAAAATTTGCCGAGGAATTTTTTTGGGAGAGAAGCCTATGATCCATGAAGAGCCTTTTGGCCCATTCCACGTCGGACATCGTAATAACGTGGGCTTTTGGATTGAGCACAACTCCAAGCCCACTAGTTTGTCCAGCACATTATTTGCTGTATGCCAAATCAAATATGAAAAGACAAAACGTTCCAGTTTGATGTGCAGCCCATCAAAGGTAATAACTGACACCACGTGTTACACATCTATTGGTCCTCTCCAATTAAGGTTTGTTCACTCCTCCGGTTAAAGACGGAATGTAACGGTGAGATGAAATTATTATTATTATTAGTATGTATCATTAATCAGGTAAAATTTATCAATTTTTCATTCAATAATAATATTATGTAAGAGTGATAAATGATGTCATAATTATTTATTTAATTTTTTATTTTAGGTAAGGAAGAAAGAAATACAGACGACCGAGATGGAGTAACTCCTCGTCGTGATCAAGAGAATCTACACCATAGAAAGTCTAATTTTGAGTCATAACTACTAATTAAGAAGAATAATTTATTAATATAATACTATTAAAATTAAATAATAAACTGTGTTATACCCATAAAATTAAGCTCTATTAATAACCGAAGTCAAAGACATTGTTTAACGGATACGGTTTACCATTAAATCACTAATTAGAAATGACGTCACCATTACACTAAGTATTTTTTCCAAGATAGCGGGAGCGGAATCAACGGACAAACAAAACGAATGGGAAGAAGACCAACGCTGACGTGGCATCGATCGAGCGGTTCCCTCTCCAACGCCACCCCCGCTCCTCTCTTTCTCTCTCCTCTCTCTGTAGGTCTATCCAAATTCCACTGGCCTGGCTGAACATGGACAAACGCAAGCAGACATTGTTAGATTTGTAGATATGGTGGGTGATATAATCAATCGTTCATTGTAAATTTTATTTCTTGTTTATAATTTTATCTGAATCTTTCGTATAATGCTTTGGGACTGAAAAGTGCACTAATCTTATTTTATTTAATCTTGCGTAGGTTATGATATAGACTACTAATATTTTATTTAATCTTGCGTAGGTTATGATATAGACTACTACTAGTGTAGTGTCTGAGCAGAGTATTGAAGTTGAAGAAGGAGGGAGAAACTAGAGAGAGAAAGGAGGGAGAAATGGCGGAAATAGGGTTTTTAGGGATGGGAATCATGGGCAAGGCCATGGCAGTGAACTTGCTCCGCCATGGTTTTAAGCTCACTGTTTGGAACCGCACTCTATCCAGGGTACTCTCTCTCTCTCTCTCTCTCTCTCTCTCATCAGTTTATCTCTGGTCTATAGGAATGTTAATGGATGAATGACCGACTTTCTGTAGTCTTTTGATACACTAATAACTTTTTTATTTAGTTGATGAGTCTTTTTGTTTAGATCTGTATTTAAGCAAAATTAATCATACGAGTGAGTCATTTTTGTGTTTATGTTGGTGTAGAGGCTGATGTCTATTGCCAATTCGAGAAATAAATACATCTCGCCAAGTAGAAACTCAAGAAGTATAGAAAATTTGGAAAACTTGGGAATGATTTGTATAGGCTTATGAAAGATTTGTTTGCAATTAGGAAGTATATCTTGAAGCTTGTATATCAGGAAAATACTATTTGGATCTAATATGGGGACTTGGATTGGAGGTTAGCTCTCACTAACATTGACTGTATTGAATTAGATCCCTGATTAGGTACTTAGAGCATTACTCTATATATCATGCACCAACTTAAAGTTCTCTCCAATGTTTGCATATTAAGTGAGAGCCCATTCTTCTACATCCCAGATGGAACTACCAAACTTAAATCAATATTTTTTCCCTGAAGAACTCATTTAGAGTTATTTAATTTTCTGTATGCTAAGTGCTAACAGCTCAACAGGACTACATGACCCCTTTGAATGGCTTAAACTCCCCAGAGGTTGGATTTACTAGTATGTCATACACACTTTGTAAACTATACAAGCTGAGGAGCTCACGTTTTTCCGTTTTCAAATCAAAGGAATTCAGTTTTGGTTATTTTTGGCTAATTAAAATTTGCATGACTAACTTTTGAAGCTTACTAGACTACCTATCAACGATGATGACGTATCTGCACTTCAATCTTTTGATTATGTTTATGAAATATAAAGTTCTGATCAGCTCGGGGCTGGAATGATGAGCAATTACTTTACATAACTATTGTTCTGTGCAATGCAAGCTTCATGTCTTCAGTAGCTTCTTGTTCACAGTGTGATGAGTTGGTGAAGCACGGCGCTTCTGTTAAAGAAACTCCTGCAGCAGTAATCAAGAAATGCAAGTATACCATTGGAATGCTGTCTGATCCTGCTGCAGCTCTTTCGGTAGTATAATCAAGTTTTGTTTTTTAGCAATGAAATTCCAACTATTCATATTAATTCCATAGATTGGTTACTGCTCAGGTGGTCTTTGACAAAGATGGCGTTCTTGAGCAAATGTGCAGTGGAAAAGGGTACATTGACATGTCAACTGTTGATGCTGATACTTCTTCAAAGATCTGTGAGGTTTAAATTGCATACTTGGGATGCCTCTCTCTCTCTCTCTCTCTTCCTTGCCTCCCTCCCTCTTTTCACTGTGATTCGAATCATGCTGGCAAATTAGTGGATAGTTAAATACTTGCGTGATTTTGGAACTCAACATTCACTCTTTGAAAAGTTTTAAAAACTTGCTCAGACCCCTCAAGGATACCCACTCTGATAAACTTGAAATACAAGCCTTGATATGTGTATATGTTGCCTCCCTCTTGCTGTTGTAAAATGTAACTAGTAAAATAAGGGTAATAAATCAAAATCTGATGGTTCTAGTTCTGAGTTTCACCTTGTGGCTACCCCCACAGACTTTGGTCTGAACTTTCCCGGTGCATAGCTCTTGTGATGGAGGTTGTGGTTGGTGGTCATTTACTCAGGCGAGTAGTAGGATGTTCTAAGAGATCCGGACAACTTCTTTTATTTCACCACTTCTCCTGCTGAGCGCCCTTGTGGGAGAGAAAAACATCCAAATGTCCTCCTACATAAACATATGCGACATTTATTGATTGGTTTTCAAGACACCTAAACAACCAACATCAATGCTAGTCTTTACCGCCCATTTTTCGTTCTTCTGTTGACAGTCCCTTAGCTGAAGATCGGTAATAAGTTTCTAGTGTAGAAATCCCTATGATAGGAATTTATGGATGTGAATGGGTTTTGAGTCCAAGTTCTTGTTTTACAGATACACTTGAATATGAAATACTTAACAATAATGAGATGGAAAAGAAAATGGGGAAAAAAACCAAAAGGAAGATGTCATTCTTTTTTAAATTACTGCCATTGGCACACTTTCAATATGTGCAGGCAATTACGTCAAAGGATGGTTATTTCCTTGAAGCTCCAGTTTCAGGCAGCAAAAAACCTGCTGAAGATGGTCAGCTAGTGATCCTTGCCGCTGGGGAAAAGGTAATCTACTTAAAGTATCAACAGTGCACGTCTGCTGTTTCTAGCCTTGATATCTGGCAGGGTTGTCTGCATTCTGTAATGGTTCTAGGTTTTGTTGACATGCATGATGAGTAACTGGAAGGAGTGAAAATATTTTCCTGGACATGCATGATTAGTAACTGGAATAACCCTACTGTCAACTTGGGCTATATCTGTCTGTAGATCTTTTTGGCCTATAATTTTCTCTCTAACTAGACTATTAATTTGATCATCTCTCCTTATTTGTAAATGTAGGCATTGTATGAGGAAGCTCTCCCTGCTTTTGATGTCATGGGAAAGAAGTCCTTTTTTCTGGGGCAGATTGGAAATGGAGCAAAAATGAAACTTGTTGTTAACATGATAATGGGCAGGTAAGCATAAGTTTTTGCCCAAAAGGTTTATGTACGATTGGAAATTTGCTGATTTGTTTTTAAATCAAGAAGCAAGTAAGTGTAAAGTAATAAGTTTTCAGATGCAAACTGTGACAGTTGAAAGCAACTTATTTTATTCAGATGGGATAAATTACCTGCAAACTTGGTGAAAATTGTCTGGCAGACTTGTCGCAAGACAAATTCTTTAGTAAAGGTCATGATATTATATGTCAGCATATCAATAATGTTTCATCTATTGTTAAGTACATAGTGAGGAATATAGTTGTCAAATCGCGTATTAAAAGGCGTGTCGTTGTATTGTATTGTGTATCGTATACCGTGTACATAGTTGTTAAATTGTGATTCGTATTGTGAATCGGAATCTTAAATTTGAGAATCGTGAATTGTATCGAATCGTGAATCGTATCGAATCATGAATTGTAAGATTCGACCCAAAATTTGAAAAAATAAAAAATAATACTACATATTTAAAATAGACAAAATATTGAATATTAAACATTATTGTATTTTAAAAATAATCAATTGACATAATCACATCTACTAAATGAAAAAACACTAGTCTTTTGTTTTTTTTATCTTTTACTTAACTATTTTCAAATTTAACAACTTGAAAAAAAAATTCATTAAAGAACCATGGTTATTTAAGAATCAAAATAGTGACACCCAATATAAATAAGGTTACAAACATGAATGAAAAAAGAACAAATAAAAAAATTGATTAGGAGAAAATATACTAGCCAACATATTGAAACAAAAAATTAAAACCTAACAAACTACTTATGAAAGAATTGAGAGCAAAAATTAACCGATGATTCAAGAGCGTTATCCATAACCTTTAGCTTTAGACAATGCAAGGCGAGCTTTAGACGACGTTAGAGAGAGATAACGAGTAAAGAAGTTGAGTTTTTTTAGGATTTGGGTTCCTTTGTAAACAAAACGACATCGTTTTACTGTTTAGTGGACAAAACGACATCGTTTTACCAAAAAATTGGGTTTTAAAAAAAAGTAATTGAATCGTGCGATTTGTGAGATACGAATCGAATCATATGAATCGTACGATTCAGGTGCAATTCAACTCTAAAACGATTCTCATATAAGATACGAATCGTTTGGTATCTGTATCGAACCGAATCGTACGAATTAAATCGCGAATTGTATGATTTTGATAACTATGATTGTGTATCGTAAGATACGCACAATTTTAATTTTTAACTAATTATTAATAATATATATATACCTTTGTAAAAAAGTCATAGACTCACAATAATTTAGTATTTCATAAATATTCCACCAACTATTCAAGTTTTCAGCATAGTTTAGTAATATAATAATGCAAAGACCTCTAATTCAAATTTCTAACATCAACGGCTTGAACAATCTTAATATTAATAAGAAATTTTGAATTCAATTGAACAACATTAACAATAGACTTTAATTTTTTTTTTTAAACCATAACTACTGAAACGATGTTGTTTCACTGGCTGGTGATTTAAAAATAAGTCATAAGGTAAAACGATGTCATTTCAGCTCCAAAAAATCAAAAAAAATAAAAAAAATAACAGAATTGTCACGTATTGGACATATTGTATCGTGTATCGTACAATACGGTACAAAAACGATACAAAGACACGATACGTATCATTTTTTTGGTGTATCGTAACGAATCGTACGATACATATTGCGTATCGTACGATACTAATAAGTATGGTGAGGAATAAAAGTTCGAAGATGTGCTAAGAGTATGCTCTGTTTCCTTATTAGACTTCTTTGAGTATGCTATTTGAAATCTACACGTCCTAGCTTTATGCAGGTGATATTATGTGAGCAAGATGAACGGTATTATTGATGAGCCAATTTCAATTATGCAGTCATACATGATCAAATTTCTTTACATTACTGCCAATCCAAGAGTTCTCCACTTACCTACTCTTCAACCTTCTTTTGAAGATAACTTAATCATGTGGTTTTGTTCCCTTTATTGGTGGCAACTACAGTATTTGCGACATTCACTTGTTTGCATGTTGGGAGGGTGAATGGCACAAATACTTGGTGCTGATTTTTACTAGTTTTCCTGGCCAATTTGTGTGAGTGATACATGCCTTCCATTATCTATATCCATGACAAAGTACGTACGGATTGCAAGTTTTTATGACAAATTTCATGCCATATTACCCAGAATTCTGATTCTCTCAAGACGTTTAGATGTTAATATTTTTTGGATGGATAGATAAGTAAGAACAGCAATTTTTATTTAATGTTGGCTGCTTTTTGATTGTTTTATTTCTTTGCAGTATGATGAATGCATTTTCGGAGGGACTCATACTGGCTGACAAAAGTGGACTGGACCCTCACACTCTTCTTGATGTGTTGGTGAGACGACAAACTGGGATTCTTGTCTAAACATCTGTTGGCTTTCAAGCTTAGTTTTGATATGATTCCTTCTCTCAGGATCTGGGCGGCATTGCTAATCCAATGTTCAGGATGAAGGGACCAACTATGATCCAGGAGAATTACTCCACTGCATTTCCTCTGAAACACCAGCAGAAGGATATGAGGTTAGCTCTCGCTCTTGGGGATGAAAATGCTGTATCAATGCCAGTAGCAGCTGCTGCCAATGAGGTAAGGCTGTTCCTTCACAATTGTTAAAATTGTTCGCAATGCTGAATGTGACAAAAATGAGTAGCAGATTAGGGTCATCTTACCGGCCTATCAGATGCCATGGACTGAAGAAACCCTATGCCATCTAAGAGAGAGAGAGAGAGAGAGAGTAATCAGTAACACAACCACAGAAATGGTTTGCAGTAGTGGTTATGTTGAGAATCCACAGCCTGATGATGTAGAAGTCAAGCTATCACGGAGATTCCTTCTTATTGGAGTTCTTTCTGATATGTTGAGTAACTAAAGTCACCTACATCCTAAATACAGAATCCAATTGGAAACTCTGGGTCTGTGGCCGATATGAATACCAAGTGTTCCTTGGTATTTTTGAAGCCTAGGGTGAAATTCCATAATTTTCATTCACTTTGGCATCCTTTCAATTACATAGAGTATGAATATAAGTGGAAGGGTTAAAAGGTAAGATTGCCAGGATTGAAAATTCGGCAATTGCGAGGAGAGCCAGATTGTTCGAACAAAACGGGGGATTACATCTATACCCAGCATTTGTGTCTCAGCATTGACAGGGCTGACAGTGGGTATGGCCTCTAATTTTATGAATAACATTACATTTACCAGAAAGGAAAAAATAAATTAGAATTGAAAGAAAAGCTTTGCAACTCTGTTGCGCTTCCTCTCTCACATTTTTTCTGCCTCTATTATTCTTCTTCTGGTAAGATATCTGTTTTAGATACATTCCTATAGTTAAGTCTTCGGTATCTGCATTAGGACAATAGCACATAATGAACTGATGGATTAGGAATGTTCTTTGTTATTTTTTCAGTGGCAACAACATGAGCGGAGCAAGTAAGGGGCTCGGGCCCACCCTCAAATTTTTTTGAATTTTTTTTATATGCATTGAGATATATAAATTTGTCAAATATATTTTGTGGTGCCCACCTTATTACTTCTATCTTCAACAATAATTTATGAGTATGTGAGTTGTGATTGATCTATAATTCTATATTTGGCTAGTTTTATAGTTTTGGGGCTTTCTTCAATTGACTTTGTTTGTTTTTTTATTAGTTTTTTGAATTTACGTTCCTAATTTAATGATTTGAAATTAGTCTACAATTAACCTTTATTTTTCTAGGACTTACTGTCTTTATATCTCCACAACCTATTTTTTCTTTTTCTACAGCGTACTTGCTGTTGTCGGATAAATTAAAAGCAAATGGTGAGAGAATTCCATTACATAACTGAATGGATATCGGTGGATGAATGATAATTTGATTACATATACATAAAGACATCTTCGATGACATTACCAATGAAGTTATCATTTTTTGTTTATATATCATTGACTTTGGATCTTTTGTGTTCGATAAATTTTTATATATCTTGTAATAAATATAAATATTAGTTTATTTTTATTGATTGGAAGAAAAAAAAAAAACTAAATCCTAAGGTGCCCACCCCGAAAACAATTTCTGGCTCTGCCCATGGACAACAACATAATGGGTACCATGGACAATGTGATCTCTGATGTTCTTTGACTAACTGGCTACAGCCTAAGCTTATACATGAACACTATGCACATATTTGACACACTATGTTTTCCAAGGAAGTATAGGCACACATTTTTTCTTACTTCTAACAATTCAATGCGTTAACTGTAATCATACTATAGGCTACGGTTCATATGTGGACGCTTTTTGTTATTCATGAATATGTTGTACAACCAGAATTAGTGCAATAGGCACGAAGTTGCTGACTTGATCATTGACTTGTACTTTCTAAATTGTTGAGTGTGCCCTAGGATGGGATTTTATAGGAAAATGCTGTCATCGTTTTTATGGACATTTTATGTTCACATCCTTCTAAATGGGTTTACTTCAGAGATTAGTAACCTCCAGGGCAACTGCTTATAAAGAATTTGATGGTGGGTTTTCTTATAACTTTATAGCTTATCCTACGCCTCAGTATGTGGTCGCAATTTTCTTGAGGACTTCATTGAATGTCCAATGGTGGCTGGTTAAGTCGCCTCATGGTTCTATCTAAGAGTTTGGGGAGGAATTATAAACACTGGATTAATGGGATTTATGGGGAAAAAAATTTGATTTTTAGGTGGTGGGTTGTTGGAATCCTTAATATGCTGTCATAGAACATAGATCTGTTCAAATTTCGTGGGATGTCCAAGGGTGGCTGGAAGTTTATTATTGTTAAGTGGTCGCATGGTTATATGTAAAGGCTTGGAGGGGGGGGGGGGGGAATTATACATGCTCGATTAATGGGATTTGCTGGAAAAAAAAGTGATTTTAATTGGTGGGTTTTCGGAATCTTTATTACTGATTTTCGAAATGTCAGACAGATGCACTCTATGCTGTTGGGTACATGTTTTTTTCCTTTATTAAAATCCTCTAGATGATGTAGCTTCTGGATCTATGTAAAGTAGGTTACACTCGATCTTGACATTTTACAAGTTAAAACCGTTGAATGGTACTGATGAAGCACAAAAAAACAGTTTCAACTGTCAATCACAATAACAAAACCTCAAATCAGCTGTGGATGGTTATATGTGCAGAAAAGTTAGCATCTGTTATAAGTTGTTAGTGTTCTTCTGCATGTATAGGCATATAGATAATATGACATTGAATTAAAATTATGTTAGATTAGGCATGCCATTTTACCTTCTTGCAAGATTTTCCTCTTTTTGTAATGATTGACCTGACAAATAACTATTTGCATGCAGGCATTCAAGAAAGCCAGAAGCATGGGGCTTGGTGATCTCGACTTTTCAGCTGTTTATGAGACTGTCAAGATTGCTAAAGATTCATCCTGAGACAAAGCACATGCATCAGGACTTGAAGCACAATAGCAGGATCAGACACTGCTGATTATGGAAGTCGAAGCTTTGGGTCAAGGTAATAAACATAGTGTGCATGTGATTAACTTATGATTGATTGCGACATCTTTGTATTACAAGACGGAACTCTTTTGGAAGTGAAGAAGCATTGAAAAATATTATAACAGATGGTAAAGGAAGCACGAAACTTCTTTTTTTTTTCCTCTTTCGGGTTTTGGTTACTATTCTAAATACTGATTTAATATGATAGATGTGAGCCAATACATATGAATAGTGTGCAAAATGGCAGCATATGGATAAGTGGCATTAGACAAGCTAGCAGAGCCAAGACGAGCTTAACTGAGCTGGACTGCTTATTTAAGACCAATTTTATTCAATGTTTTTTGTTGGCTGAAACAAGCAGACTTCTGTTCTTGAATCTAATCGAGCTTGATCACTTGTGTCCCGAGTTACATAACAATTGAGTAGGTGTGATCAATTGCCCCTATGCCGAGACTGTACTGGCTATTTCTGAGCATACTACTCAGACATTGTTGATGCTCAAAACCAACAGAGTATATCAGTCATGGATTTGGGAATATCTTTCATTCTCGTCATATTTGCAAATCACATGGCGTCAATGGAGCCTAGACTTTGGTAGGCTGATGATGCATAGGCATCAACAATAATCACAGTGGAAAACATTGTTATGGCTTTTTAGAATTTTTTCTTGCTAAAAATGGAATTATTTGGAACTCTTGAAAAGGCCCGCCGTTCTTTCGGTTTAAACACGTTTCAGGCCCCAATTTGCACTAGGGAAATTCTCGAAGGGACGATCGAGCGGATGATTCAATGGATAAAATTTTGAATTTTTTTACTCAATATTTGGGTTCAAATTTTTGTAACTACGGTAGTTCAGTGACGTTAAACTTATTTTTCGTCACTCAGAACATGTGATATTTTAGTTTTGGTCTCAGCATAGGTGTGTTGGGGTCTCTTGTAAATAGTTGTGTGATGTTGAAGGATAATATTTTTTGACGTATATGTAGAGTGATTTATTTACGTATCTATTTTGTGTACCAAAAAAAAAAGGAAATGGAGTATCTCATGACTTTGGGTATTTGCCAATCTCAAACTTGGGTTGCCCATACATAACCAACTAGTGAAAGTTACGGGTTGTTCATGACACCTATAATTTTTAGGTAAAAATCATTGGCACTCTTTCACATTTGATAAAAATTATTCACCCTAGACATTTCAATTTTAGCATAACAATCATTATTAGAAATTTTATATTTTTAAGGAGAGTATTGGAGTAGGAATATATTTGCTCAATTGAGATCCGTGGTTGTGAGTCACCAAGATAATATTTTTCGCACATGTGATAAAAAGTTCGAACATAAAATAAGTTTTAGTTATCATTTCTATTTAATAAATTATGAAAACGAAAACAAAAGACATATTTGATAACCACTTTTACATCATATTTAGTAGTTTTATGTTAATTCCCTACTAAAAAAAATCAAAATTTATTGTCCGAATACATCAATTAAATTGACAAATAAGATACAAATCAAAATATTGGAATCACATAAGTAATTAAACATACCAATACATCTTTTTTTTTTTTTTGATCAAATAAATGCACGCTATAGTAAGTGATTATTATTTTAAAACCTCAACAATTAATATAAATACACAAAAAGGTAGCGTACAATACAATATTGAATTTAAACCACAATAAGTGAGCATCACAATAGTGATGAAGATATTGGTGAAAGGTGGGTGGTGGCGATGATAATGACAAAAAGTAGTTGATTGTGATGGCAACGACGACTGACAAGTGATAGTAATGGCGGTGAGTGGTGAATGATGGTGGCGGCAAGTGGTGACCATCTGTGGTGGAGGGAGTTTGCATCGAGTGGTGGTAGTGGCGGAGCATAGTGGTGGTGGTAGCTATAGTAATGGCGTTGGGGTGATGGTAGTGGTTGTGGCAGTAAGGGCAAATGAATGATGGTGGACAGTGGAGGCAAGTGGAGGTAACAGTGGTGACAATGACAAAGGATAATGGTGAGACGGAAGATGGTGATGGTGGCAGCAATGGAGTGGTGGTGGCTATAGTGACGATGTGAATGATATTGGTGATGTAGTGATTATGATAGTAGAGTGGTGGTGGGTGGTAGTGGTGGAGGATGGTAGTGGGGGGAATGGTAATGGTTGTAGTAATCACGACATTAGGTGGTGGTGGGTAATAATAACGATGACGAAAATGGTGGGTGGAGGTTTTGTGGTAGTGGCGGTGGTAGCATGGTGGTGGTGGGAATGGTGGGTAGTGGTAATGGGTTGAGGATGGCGGTGAAGGAGGCAAAGAAGTGTTTTGTCAAGATTTCATTAAATTAAACTTAAATATTTGTCTGTTTTCATTTTTTGCAGTTTTTTAAAATAATTTTTGTTTTTTTTAAACTAACATTAAAGTGGAAATGTTAATAAAATATATATATATATATATATATATATATATATATATATATATATATTATCAAATGCATTGTCATTTTTAGTTTTCAAAAAGAGTGAAAAACAAAAATAAAAAACTGAAAACAAAAATGGTTATTAACCATTTTTTTTAATAGAATGACTGTCTTGTTGTAAAAAGGAACATCCCTTATTCTTTTAGAGCAACAACTTTAAATCTTTTTTCTAAAATGATTTGCCACCCAAATACATCAACCATTCTTTTCCATTTTCTTTTTCCACCTCTATCTCCCTCTCTCTCACACACAAAGAGAGTCGTAAGTCCACGATCACCCTTTAGTTGTCGTCCCTTTGAACTCCTCAATCAATCCCTCCACTCTCTTGTTGCCTTGAAATTACCATTGTTAAGAAAAAAACATTCAATATAACGATGATTGATGACATAGTATCACTAATTAATAATAAAATTTAAAATAAAAAAATTAAATTTCACATGAATAATTATTGACTTACATGGAAGAAGAGTGAATAGTTATTGACTTACATAAACATATAATTATTTGTTTGTACAAGGTCCAATTTTTTATTTGTTTACACATTATTGATTGTTGATATCGCGTGAAAATATTGACGTAGTATCACTATTTCAATAAATATTTTTTCCTATTAACAAGATATGAGAAAAATAATAATCCTTCACCTTTATTTTAGATTATATCGAGAAGAAAAAGAAAAAAGAGGGATTAAATTATTTTGTTAAAACAACTATATAAAAAATGAGTCACGTTATTGGGAATAAAAAATATAATATAATTTATTAATTTAATGATGTATCAAGCGACAAAATTTTAATAAAAAATCTAATAATTAGAATTAAATTAAAAATTTAGCTAACGATAAAAAAATTACTTCGTCAAAGCTAGGGGTAAAATGGGTAATCGGCAACGTAAATTTTTTTCCCCACTGCAAATCTTTGGATCCAGCCAAACAAACCCTAGGGTTTTCGATATTCGGGGGAAGGGTTTTTCTTCTTCTCTTTTACTACCCTCAAAACCAGTACAATCTTCTACTTCCAGTCACCGTGATCGAAACGGAGAACTCTCACTCGCAAGTCCTCTGATCCAACACTAGACCCCAAAATCAACATACAATGGCCACTCTAGTCCCTCCTGCAACTACTGCTCCACCGGCTGCTTCGAAACCCACCGTGATCGAACCGGAGAAAGTCGATTACTTGAACTTGCCTTGCCCTATTCCATATGAAGAAATCCACCGCGAAGCTCTCAGTTAGTATCGTCCTATTAATCACTTTCCATCGATGTCTTTGATTTTGTTCTTTACTTTTTACTGCTTGCTTCACTGTTACAACACTAATTGTGAAACCATAAATCCATTCAATTTATTGCACGGCTTTCCTGGAAGAATATAATGTAAAAACCATTTCTGTGGCCATAGGCTTCAAATCTTTGTTTTTGCAAACGAAGAAAAGGAATCCTCAACCCTAATGAATGCAGTATGAATGGTTAGGGGTAATAGCCCCCCTGGCAGTTTCATTGATGTTTGTAGTAAGAGGTTTCCATCTACATATTGATGAGAGTGACTCAAAAGATTTTAGGATAAGGCTTTGCTGAATTGTATTGATGAGAGTGACTCGAAATATTTTGGAACAAAACTTTTTTGAATTGTATTGATGAGAGTGACTCGACAGATTTTGGGACAAGGCTTTGTTGAGTTGTATTGATGGGAATGATTCAAAAGATGATGTCAGGATTGATGTTTTTGTGTGATATCCATTCCACCCATTGCTTGACAATTTTTAGAGTTGTATAATACCAAATTTGTCTCTGGTGTTCTCATTGATAAAGAATCAAGGTTTTTTGAATTTTGTTGGCAGTGTCCTTGAAACCTGAACTTTTTGAGGGGATGCGCTTTGATTTTACGAAAGTACTCAATCCTAGATTTGTGCTCAGTCACAGGTAACTTCAACTTTTGATCTTCTCCCCTTCTCAGTATTCCAAGCTTTGTTGTGTATCTTTTCGTTATTTGCTATCTTATTGATTTTGATGACTATGCCTTTTGATTTTCTTCAGTCTTTTCATGGGACCTACAGAAATTCCTTCACAGTCTTCTGAAACAATTAAAATACCCACTGCACACTATGAATTTGGTGCCAACTTCCTTGACCCAAGGGTAGGTGACGTTAATGCCCCCTTGGAATCAATCAATTCTGATGAGTGTGAATCTAAACAAGGGAGCATTGATTTGTGTATCACAGTTGATGCTTTTTGGGAGACTATTGACGGATGGGAGGCTGAATGCCAGAGTGAAGGTCGATTTGTCCGAGAATCTTACTTTGAAGGCCAATGCTCAAGTAAACACTTGGACTTTTCAGCTTTTCTTGAACTTAAACCCTTTGTGTTTTGTTGCATTTCCAATATGGAATTTTGTTGTGCAAGTAAAATTGGTGCAAAGGTAGTACCAAAATAAAAAAAGTAGTCGTTATTTTCAAATTCCTATTCAAATTCCCCAAATGTAGCACGACTAACTGATTAGTTAACAATTGTTTTTCATCTTTTCCAGCTTACGAATGAGCCTCATATGTCGCAAGGAATGGCCAATTTTGATTATAAGGCAAGATTCATTTCTGTTTTTCATCTTCGCACAAACGCACACACTCATATATGCCTGTAGATATTAAACTATAGATGCATTTAGTCATACATGTTCACTGATTGTAGCTTGTACATGGTATTGGTTAAATTTATTTGTTAGAGTGCTTTTCTGTAAAGTTCTTGTAATTTGATGATTGTTCAGTGTGATTTTTTTGTTGTCTTATATCATTTTTATTTCCACAGGGCAAAGATTATAGATCTCAATTTCAACTAGGAAGTGGTGCTTTATTTGGAGCCAATTACATCCAGGTAAAATATCTAGTTTGGCCTTTTTAAACCCTGTAGAAGTTCATATGGATTACAACTTCGAAAAACAATGGCCTGTACTCCTGATGAAAAATATTTTGGGTTTGGCGACCATAACTGTATGTAATATGAATGAAAAGTGATGTGTCTTAGAAAGTAGGCACAAACAACTTTACCGAAACTTGTATAGGCAAATAAATGTATATGATACAATTCAAATTGTATCTAAAAAATGTAGTGTGCAAGGGTGCACATCTGGACAACAGGCTCCAAGTTGCATGTCCTGGTTCCAAGTTGCATCTCCCGGTTTACCAGATGGTTACAGTAGTTGCTTTCATGCTCGAGGTGCTTCTTTTTCAAATGGTAACTTGGCGAAGAAAACTTGAATTCTGTTCTTGTTCATTCTTCTGAATATATAATTGGTTGATACTTAATCCAATTATTTTCTGGTAGAAGTATGTTTTAAGATATGGAAGGCATAGACGACACACAAGTTCACCTTTTCTCTGTACAACTGTCTATTTGTTATTCTTACACTATGCAACAGTATGTGTTACAGTGGTGGCAGATGATTGCTTCCACAGGTGAAGTGGGAGAAGGACGTGTTAAAACTGTTCTGTTCTCATGCGTTACCAAGCACTACTTAATATGCCCATGCCGTGTTCTAAGAGCTGATTGTGCACAGGGACTACTTTAGTTTTTGAATTTCTTGTTAAAGGTGGCAATGTACAGATCCCTTTTGGAAAAACCTCAAGTTATTGTAACCTGCCAGGCAATGATTTCCAATATGTGGCTTATGGTTGTGTCTTCAATAGTTTTTTGTTACCTTTCCGTCTTCAAATGTTATTTGGATTTTTAGTATTTGTAGCTAGGGGATCCTGTATCATGATTGTAATGAGAGATATCTTTTTTGTTATTATTAGTCCTTGCAAACAGCTTTTGCAAGTGTCTTTTGAATTAATTTTCTAACAGAATACACTTTTTAAAAATTTTCTTCTTCTTGTTCTTCTCTTCCTCCTCTACCCCCTCCCTTTTTTCACATCTCAACTAACCTGAAGTAATTATCAATTTCTCACTTAAATTGTATATTTACGCACAGAGTGTGACCCCCAACTTGTCTTTGGGTGGTGAAGTATTCTGGGCTGGTCAGCATCGAAAGTCTGGCATTGGTTATGCTGCTCGATACAACACAGATAAGATGGTACTATGGCTTGGATCTGTGCGATGTTTAAAGTCTTATATACCATTGTCCCAGATAATTAGTAGTGTGCATAGTTTTTCATTTTGCATTATGTGTGTTTTGGTGGTTATTAAATTGGCCTGCAATTTAAGGCCACTGAGCTGTTTTTTTTCTTTTTTAATTTGTCATTATGTAATGTGACATGGGTTTTATTTATCAAAAAAGCTGGAGTGAGATATGCATGGATTGTCTGCCTTATGTTCTCAGTTATCTCCTTTTCAGTGATTGTCCTATATCTGGGCGGGGTATTATTAAATGTGCTTTCCATTTCTAATGAAGTAATGGGATGTGAGAAATCATGAAGCTTCAGCTGGAACATATTCTCACCTTCCCTCTTCCCCCCTCCCACCAAAAAAAATAAAAACTCAAAACACACCTTAACCACAACAAAGATAATAGAAAGAGAAGGAAAAAGTGATGCTTATGCCACATAGAGAAGAACATAACATGATATAAGGCTCACTGACATGGTGGATTGCTAGTAAATAGGGATGCATATGTGGCAGGGATGTAGCACCTGTGTAGGTACGCATAATTTTAATGGATTTTATTTTATTATTGGGCATCATCAAACTTTAAGCTTATATTTGGAGTGTTTATTTATCCTCTGTCAATATGACCAAGGGAAGCTATATATCAATTTCCCAGGTTTGTATGTGGTGCATCTGAATAGTGCAAGCTGATAGTATTACTGAAGTGTCAGTGACTGACAAATCCAAGGTTTTTGAGAAGCATCGGTGCTTTTTAGCTCTTTGCTGTCCGTGGTTTTTGATTAATGTTTTCTTCTCCCCTGGTTGATTGTGGTTTTTTGTTAGTTCTTTCTTCTCTGATGGATTTTCAATGGTAACTGAATACTCAAAAAGGACTTGAAGCAGCATTTATCAGTGGGAGGAAAATTTTAACATACATGCAGAATGAAACATTCATGCTTACCTGATTGGTTTTGTTTGTTGAAGGTTTTTAGTATTAGTATTGTCCAATATTATGGAGCAAATATAAATTTTTTAATTTGTAGCTTTTTTTCTTAGTATTTATTGAAATCTTCTGCATTTATCTTATGTGTCTGCCGTAGTTTTTTAAAAAAGAATTTTTCTTGATTCAAAAAGGGGGTAGTGACTCGTATACAATTTTGGACAAACTTTCTCTACTAGTTTTTTTATTTCCCTTTTTTCTTGTTGTATTCATATCTATTTATCATAGCTTCCATAGAATCCCATGTTTTAGAACGGCAAAATCCTATTTTATTGATCTTAGAAATATAAAAATGTGGCAGTTTCTTCAATTGGGTGGTTTTTGTTGGAACTCTTAACAACCGAGGAATCAAATTTGCTTATTCAATTTCTATTGATCGAATAAATCCATGATTTTTTTCTACTTCTTCTTTACCCTATTTATTCGCCCATCTACACTTTTTGTATCTATGTAAATTTTTTTAGAACCATAAATGATAATTTTGGTTTTTTTCTTTCCCTTTGGCTGCTGGAAAGGAGTGGGGTTTTTTGCCTGGCATTCATTAGCAGTGATTGATTGAAGGGATTTATGTTTAATTTTCTCATTCAGTCTTTTCTTTTTAGATAAATTGATGAAATTGACCTTGTCGTCTGCAGGTTGCTACAGGACAGGTTGCTAGCACTGGAATGGTTGCTCTTAGCTATGTTCACAAAGTATCTGAAAAGGTCAGACAGTCAAACTGCTGGATGATCTGTAGGTATAATTCATACATTTCTAACGCTTCTTTTTCTGTGTAGGTTTCTCTAGCATCAGACTTCATGTACAACTACATGTCAAGAGATGTAACTGCAAGCGTTGGTTATGATTATATTCTTCGTCAGGTGATTGTTTTTAGCAAAATCTTTCAAATACTGATAACCAAGTAGTTTAGGCTCTGGTGCGCATACTTGCATGAGAATCACATGTAAAGGATGCATATGAACTAAAAACAAGCGCATACGGGCTTTTACTCAAAAAAAATTGCTGAAAAAGTCATACAATGCATCCATTGACATGCATATGATCATTGTATGACCTTCTCAGCAATTTTTTTTGAGTAAAAGCCCGTATGCGCTTGTTTTTAGTTCATATGCATCCTTTACATGTGATTCTCATGCAAGTATGCGCACCAGAGCCTAAACTACTTGGTTATCAGTATTTGAGGTATTAGACAAAGAACCCTTGCTTTGCAGGCAATATATCTTCTGCATTTCTATAACTGATTACTCGACTGTTTGCTTACACTAATCCAGTGGAACATCTTTTTGCTTCATAATCTATTAGGAAAAATAAGAAGAGTAATATCCAAAACATTTGTGGAGTCAATTCAGTTATATCTTGTATTAGCCAACTATTTGTAGATGAATACAGGACCGAGTAATTTTCTAACTATTGCAGCAGGAATATAGATGTACTAGTTATTGCCGGTGCTTAAAGGCACGGAGTAATAAAAAAATAGTTAACAGTAAACATATTTGTATTTACACTCAAAATAAAATCACAAATATAGAAGAGAGAGAAATAAATTTAAGCACCGTTTGTAGTGGGGGTGAGCGGTGGTAGTGGTTGTAGGGCAAGACAGTGATGATTGTGGTTGGTGGCGACGATCGTGGTGGTGATGGCAACCGTGAGTGACAACGTTGATAGTAGTGGTGGGTTTTGGGTGACGATGGTGGTGGTGGCAACGATGATGGTGCTTGGCAGTGATGGTGGGCGACAGTGGGATGTTTGGTGGTGGTAGGTGTGGTGGAGGTGGGTGATAGTGGTTGGCGGCAATGGTGGGCGACGACGAGTGGGTGATGGTGGGCAATGATAGTAGATGTAATAAATATAAGAATGAAAATGACGATGATGGTGGTAGTTGTTGTGGCAGAGGTGGTGGTTGTTGTGGTAGAGGTGACCGGGGGGGGGGGGGCGGTGGTGGTGGTAGGGCGGTTCCAAACATTACCTTTTTTTTAAAGTACTTATGAGAAGTTATAAGTTTCTAGAAGTACTTTTGAAAAGTCACCCTAAACACACCTTTATGGGTCTATTTTTCGTATTAAATTTGGGGTGTTAATATTAGCTGTCAGATTAATTTTAAAGTAAACTTTAAAGAGATCTTAACCACGAAAATCAAAAGTCTTTTTGTTTATATTTTAGATTTAAATTGTATTATACTTTATTATATAAATATTCATGCTTGATTTTCTAGATGGCATTGGCACCACAATTTTTTTTAGGTAGTAGATTGAGATGTTATTGCTTAGAATTATTTTCCTATCTTAGTTTATCGTTGGTTGTGGCGAAATCTAGCTATTGCCTTGGGACATGAATCAACATCATATGTAGATTACTTTTGTATCTTATTTGTTATGTCGTACGCAATGGTCATAATTGATATGGTCAGTCTTCATTTATTCCTTTATGTATGTATGTGTACACAGGGGCCAAGTTGAACCCTTCTCAAATCAACTAAATTATTGTTTATGAATTTGCCAAATCTACTTTGGGGATGTGACATTAAGTCAAACTTGCAAACCCTGAGCCCAAAGTTTGTTGTAGGAAAGAATAAAATTTGAATATGGAGAAAATGTGATTGTAGCTATAAACTCTTCACAAGATAAAATTTTTAGATTGCTAAGGATGTTGGGGTATGGGGTGGGAGTTTGACCTTTAAAGTTCTTAGGTCGTCCTTTGGGGAGAAATCTTTTATCTTTACATTTTTGGAATCCTATTGTGGAGAGGGTAGAGAAAAAGTTAGATGAGTGGAAGAGATCTTATATATCTAGAGGGGAAGGTTAAATTTGGTACAATCAATTTTGGGTAGTATACCCACTTATTTTCTTACTCTCTTTAATATGCGAAGATAGTAATGAGAATTGAGAAAATGATGAGAGATTTCACGGGGGAAAGAAGTCATGAAGGAAAGAATGATTATTTGACAAATTAGTGAGGTTGTGTCAAGAACTAAAGTCAAAGGTGGGCTTTCAGTGGGAAACTTGAGGATAAAATGTAGCCTTAGTTGGTAAGTGACTATGGAGATTTCCACTTGGACAAAATTGGCTACGGTAATTGGTCATTAAGAGCAAATATAGACTACAAGCTAATGGATGGAATGTTAACGAGATTAATAGGGAACTTACTTGTGCCCATGAAAGTTTATTTCTCTAAGACTCACAGTTCTCTCGATATGTTACATTGGGCAATGGGGATAGAGTGTATTTTTGGGTTGATGTTTGTTTGGCACATCTTTTTTTCATGTCTGTTCCCACATCTTTATCATAAATCTCGGTTTCATGGGTCTTCTATTGTCTTGTTGTGTATCAGTATTCTAATCGATCAATTTTTTTGGGACTTTAGATTTTGTTTTGATGATAAAGATTTTATGGAATTGATATCACTTATATCCTTGATAAATGAGTTTTTCGTTGTGTTATGAATAAAATCATAAAGAAAGTGGATTCTTGAGTTTTCGGGGTCTTTTTATGCAAAACATTTTTTGAAAAATTGGTTGATGATCCTTCATACTTTATGTTTTTCTCCCTCTGTAATGATTTGGAAGGCTAAAGTGTCCATAAAGGTGCATGTATGTGCATGGACTAAGCTCATGGTAGGATAAATACAAATGATGTGCTTTAGAGAAGAAGACAGTTTCTTTGCTTTTCTCCCCATTGTGGTGTCATGTATACATGTGCTAGTGAGACTATTGATCTTTTCTTTTTCCGTTGCCCTATTCCTTTATTTTTGTGGACCAAATTGTTTCAATTAGCAGGTTTGAGTTGGGTGATTCTTGAGTTGTTTTTTTCTATGTTAGTGGAGGAATTTGAGAGACTAGGACAGTAGAAGAAAGGGGTGATTCTATGGCATTTTGACAAGTTGACCACTATATGGGTAATATGATTGAAAAGGAATGTAAGGGTAGTTAAAGATAAAAGATAGTGGATGGAAGGTTTATTGGATGACATTTATTTTTTGGCATCGTTGAGGGGTTTGTTTCATGGAAGTTTGATGACATTCCTCTTTTTTGTATCTTGGGAGATTGGAGGGCGTCATGTGATTCATAGGTTTTATCAGCTGAGATATGTCTTTTTCTTTTTCATAGATGGATATCTTATCCATCCATTATTTCTTTTATTTATCATTTCTGTCATTTTTAAATTAGTTAAGTGTTCCTGTTTCTCATCAATTTTTTTTTTTCTGACTTTTCTCCTTTTCGACAGTGTCGTCTTAGAGGGAAGATTGATTCTAATGGTTGCACAGCTGCTTTTCTGGAAGAGCGGTTAAATATGGGGCTTAATTTTATTCTTTCAGCTGAGGTAAAAAATGAGCAGGTGTTCCTTGATAGTGTGTGTGTGTGTTTTTTTTTTATGAGTGCAGCATCCAACCCCCCCAGGGGGGCATCCAAAAATAATTTGAAAAAGGAAAACTGCAATCACAGATTGCGAAAGTGTCAAATATCCCTCTACTGTAGTGTTCACGTTCATTCACAACGGTATGCTTTGATCGTATAGCTGGGAGAGAGGACATTTGTTAATCTTCGACCCTTAGTTTATTCTTGGTACACTTACATTGTTAATGTTTTGTATTCGTCTTGCAGATAGATCACCGGAAGAAAGACTACAAGTTTGGTTTCGGGTTGACAGTAGGAGAATAGAGTAGATGACTCAGGATGATGTTGTGTCACATTTATTCAAAGATCATTGTTTCGAGCTACTCGACCTGCCTTACAGGGTTCCTTTTTTGTTCTTTTGATGAAGAAGATCAAAAAATCGATTTTTGTATGTAAGTCGAGCAACATTGTTTATGGGGGGGGGGGGGGGGGGGGGCGCTGTAACAACTTCAGCATACGTAGTCTGCTGATTTTTGCAGATGAAGCTTCTATCAATTAACCTTTTTAAAGCTGTAGAATTCATCACAATGAAAATGAGATATTAATCATTTTACCCGAGGGGTGACCATCCACTTGAGATTTGTTTTGAGCTTTTGATGATGTAGATCAGAGTGTCATGAAGGAACATGTGTAGAATGTCTCTGTGCGTGTGTGAGAATACCTTACATATCTGTGATCGATCACAAATAGTTATATATAACTGGGTCATTTAACTTTCAACAATCAAACTTTTGATATGATATTAAATATTTTTTTGGGTACGGTAGATAGTCGTGCTCTCTTTGGTATGTTATTTTTAAGTTTAAACTTCAATGTAAAAAATTATTTTTTTATTATTATTATATGGCAGACCTGATCCAAGTGATAATGTGCCACTTGGGCTGTAAAGTTGTTGAAATCTGTGGGCAGATGCATCGATCGATGAAGCAGTTGCAGTTGAATATATTCCTCATTTGATGGTGAATGAATTGGCTTACTTGAGATGAGATGCGCGTAAATTAAAAAAAAAAAAAGTAGTAGGAAAGGCTTCTGCGGGGTGGGGCCCTGTTTGTTCATATTTTTTTCAACATATGGGTAATGGTGGGGTTGCGGCTAATTTAGGCAAGTGGAGGGAGTCATCATCATAGATATTGTTTTGTGGTCCCCAAAAACCTCAAATGTCGCTTTCTTGTACCACTTTGATTCAACGAATTAATGAATAATCTTATCACGCTTTCATATATTTAATAAAAATAATAATACTATCAATGTACATTTTCATTTGTTTGAATTGTACCTTTTTGTTATAGTTTATTATTGGGTACTAATTATTGTATGTGCTTGAAGGCACAGAATAATAAAAAATATATTTATATTTATATCTAAAATTAAATCACAACATAAACAAGAGATAAAGAAATTTAAACATCGGTTTGTAGTGAGGGTGGGAGATAGTTAACGGTAGTGGTAGTGGTGGTATGAGACAGTAATAGTTGTGGTGGTGGCGGCAGCAACAGCGATAGCGATGATGGTAGTAGTGATAGTGGCAACGGTGGTGGTGGTGACGACGGTGATGGTAGTGGCGATGGTGGGGGCGACGGCAGTGGTGGAGATGGCGACGGCGGTGGCAGTGACGGTGGTGATAGAGATAGTGGTGAAGTGGTTCAAAATAATATATACTTTTTTAAAATACTTATAAAAAATAATTTTTAGAAATACTTTTAAAAAATTACTTCAAACATACCCTTAGAGGCCTATTTTTTCCTATTAAATTTGAAGTTTTAATATTAGCCGTTAGATTAACTTTAAAGTAAAATTTAAAGTGATCTCAACCGCGAATAGCAAAAGTCATTTTGTTTATCATTTGAGATTTGAAGTGTAAACTATTTTATTATATAGACTAGTTATTGTCTGTGCCCGAAGACAGAGAATAATAAAAAATAGTAAATAATAAACATATTTGTATTCATATCCAAAATCAAATCACAAAATATAGAGGAAAGACAAATAAATTTAAGTATCGATTGTAGTGAGAGATGGTAGGCAGTAGTGATGGCGACGATGGTGGTGGCGGTGGCGGCAACAGCAGCCACAGCGGTGGAAACTGCGGCCATGGTAGTGGTGATGGCGGTGACGACTGTGGCGGTGGCAGATGTGGTGTTGGTGGTGGCAGCAACGGTGGTAGAGGTAATGGTGTGGTGATTTCAAACACTATTTTTTTTTACAAGTATGTATGAGAAATAATTTTTAAAAATACTTTTAAAAAGTCATTCCAAACACTATTAAATGCCTATTTTTCCTATTAAATTTAGGATATTAATATTAGTCGTTAGATTAATTTTAAAGTAAAATTTAAGACGATCTCAACCGCAAATAACAAAAGTCATCTTGTTAATATTTTGAGATTTGAATTGTAAACTACTTTATTATATAGATAATTTTTAGAAATACTTTTAAAAAGTCACTCCAAACACACATTTAAGTGCCTATTTTTTTTATTAAATTTAGGGTGTTAATATTAGCTGTTAGATTAACTTTAAAGTAAAATTTAAGACGATCTCAATCGTAAATAATAAAAGTTATTTTGTTTATTTTTTGAGATTTGAATTGTAAATTACTTTATTTTGTAGATTTTTAATTAGTTTGTGTGATAAAAATATAATCAATTTATACCTACACATTATTGTGATTCATAGAGATAAAATTTTGCAAAAAAAAAATATTTTCGATTTACATTTTATTCTCTTTATAATCTATAATATTAAAAAAGGAGAGGTGGATTGTGGTGTCTTCTCTGTATCAGTAGTTATTGATAGTTGATTATTAATATCATATATATATATATATATATATATATTATTTATTTATTTATTTCATCTGATGAAATATTTTTCTTAATCACATTTAATCATTTAACTTTATTTATTTTAATTTTGCTCTCCCACTTTTGTATCTTTTTTTTTTTTAATTTTATACATAAATATCATAAGTATACGACGCCTAATTAAATAGAAAAGAATGAGAAGCCTTGTCCCATGATCCATTTGTTATCCAGAAAATATAGAAAATTTGAAAAACTACCCATTTGAGTGGGGTTGACTAAGGTACCCAATAAAAAAAAATTAGTACCGTACCTCTTAAGTTTATTATTTTTTCAGTATTATTATCACTATTCTAAATATTTTTATAATAAATTTTATATGAATATTTTTATCAATAATTATTTTTATTTGGTACTACAACCGTTATAAAAATACTTATAACAATGATAAAATATAGATTCGGACGAAAATTCCAATTTCATAATCAATAGACGACGAACCCCACAATTTGATAATGTGGGACCCTAATCGTTGATTTGTTTTGTTTTGTATAGGGAGCTGTAGCCTAGCAGAACCCACCAATATCTATATTGATGTGTGACATGTAAAACTTTTGAGTAATGAACGATGAATTTAAAAATTATACACAAGGATTAAATTTGATAATTCTAATCATTAAATAAATAATCTCAAATTCTAATCATTAAATAAATAATCTCAATAAATATTAGAACTTATAGTATAATTATCAAATTTAATTATAAAAATTATTTTTTAAGTGCCTGTAACATTGTTCAAAAACTTTTCTTGTTAATAAATTTATTGCAGATTCAGCTGTGTTGCACGGGCATTGCCTTATTCTGCCAGAGCCAGTGGTAGAGTGTAGTGGGCTTCTTCTGGAGAGATCTTTGATCAGGTAGTCCTTATCCTACCCATCGTCCTCTGCTTCATCCATGTCTCTGTTCTTCTGATGATTGTCTCTTCCTATAAATTCCTCATGGGACTTTATATATATGTGTGTGTATGTGTGTGTGTGATTGTATCGATATATAATTTGATGGCTCCATGTTAGGTTTGTGCTAAGAAATGAAAATTTGTCTGGGAATCGGAGCTCTAAACTCATATGGCTGTTTTTACTACTATTTGATTTGTTATAAATCCGTCTGGAGACTGGGAGGGGTTCTTGAATTTTTCTCGTGAGAGAAATTCTAGGGAAAGTTTGGGCAAGAATCGATTTCAAGAATCAATATAAAGTCGAAGATCATAGATATGTCGGCGATTTGACGGAAATTTTAGAGAAAGTAAACTTTTCTTGAGTTTTTCATGGAGACATGAGAGAGTAGGCTTATTGTATTCCATTAATCCATGATTTTTAGATCATGCTTTATGAGAGTCTATCTGAGTGTGGCGTGTAATCGCAATAGAAAGAGAAGAATATCCATTTTGGTTTTCGCAAGGCTTAATCCATGATTTTTGGATCATGTTTTCCGAAAAGCTATGTGAGTCTGGTGTGTAATCGCAATATAAAGAGAAGAAAATCATGGATTTAGATTTTGTAGAGAAGTTTGAATTAATCAAATGCAGTATACCTGCTAATAGCGGTGTGTGGGTAATTTCATCCCGGTAATAGTGCATCTCTGAGTAAATGATCCTGTAGTGAATTAAACCACTGTGATATTCTTGAATATTGTACTCTGAGCAAACAGGTAAAAAATGCAAGGAGGAATTCGAACTGTCCTATCACATGGGAATGTCTTCAAGAACGCAGTTCTGCAACATATGCGTTTGGTGAACCCAGTCATGCGGCCTCTGGTGTTTTCACGCCACGAGTCTGTTTCAGCTGTTCGTATGGAAGAGCATGGGTTTGAAAGCACTACTATTTCAGACATTTTGCAAGGGAAAGGGAAAAGTGCAGATGGCTCTTGGCTTTGGTGCACTACAAATGATACTGTTTATGATGCTGTGAAGTCGGTATGTATTTTTGTGCGTTACTTTTAGTATGGATACTTTTTGGCAATGTGATAACCAAATGAATAATGTCCATTGCAGATGACACAACACAATGTTGGAGCCTTGGTGGTGGTAAAACCTGGGGAGCAGAAATCAATTGCTGGAATCATCACCGAGAGAGGTAATTGAGGAGTACATATTCAACTTTGAGAATTCTTGGACTACCATCAGGGAATATATGAAGCACTCTGCATTTGCACCGCCCATTGGAACTATTTATTCTAGCTAGTCGCTTACTAGAAGGACCAGATATTGGTAATGGTAAAGTAAATGGTGGTTTCCATCTTTATTGCTGTCAGGACTCAGGAACCATAGTGAACAATTGAGAAAAGAGATTTAAGCTTCCAGCTTAGCTTCTAATCCAGTGTTCTGTTGATGAAAGCACAAGTGGTCCGGTGTAGATTACGCTATTTCTTTCATAACCTTTGTTTTTTAACCATACAATTAAAGATCATAAGATCTTTAGTCATTAGGGCAAGTCTGTTGATAATGATAGCCATCCAAAGGCTTTGGAATTGAAGAACCTCTTTTGTGTCTATTATTTTGATTTTTACCACTACCTATTTGTATAACTTTCCCTCTAAAAAACCTCATATTGGCAAACTCTGTGATGACTCAACTATGAGTGATACATAAGCTGTTGCAAGTCCACATAACAATCGCAAAACTAGTTTTTGGCTCCTGTTTATTTTATTGTTATTGGGCCTATACCTGGCTTACTTCCTTGCAATGGCCCTGCCTATTAAATCTTTAGCAATGATAGACTATGCTCAAAAGTTTGACTGAGTTAGCTTTTTTGTACTTCATTGGAGTCTTTAATTGCAAAATTACTTGGTTATAGGTTTTGTGGCCATGGTTTATACCAAAAGGGACTTTTCAAACACAATTAAAAACCCATGGATATGAACTTTAGCACCATTCTTTTAAGATTGCTATATACCTGTTTTAATGGCGTTTTGCTGATCTTATTCCAGATTATCTCCGGAAAATCATAGTGCAGGGAAGGTCATCCAAGTCAACTAAGGTTGGGGACATTATGACTGAAGAGGTATGCATTCTACCCCATTCCGCAGCAAAAATTGATTACGCCCTGAATTCTTACCGTCAGTTTTAAGTGAACAAGGCTGTGATTTGGATTGTGTGGTGATTTCAGAACAAACTCATCACAGTTACACCTGACACCAAAGCTCTGAAAGCAATGCAACTGATGACTGGTATTATATCCACCACTTTGTAGCGACTTATTCTAATTGTTGGTTCATTGATGTTTCTCTCAAAGCAAAGATGATTAGCTCAGGACGTGCTGATTGGCAGATAACCGCATCAGGCACATTCCAGTGATCAATGAGGGTGAAATGATTGGCATGGTGTCCATTGGAGACGTGGTTCGTGCTGTGGTCAGTGAGCATAGGGATGAGTTAAACCGCTTGAACGCATATATTCAGGGCGGTTACTAGATGATGATGACGAAAAAGCTGTTCAGCTGTTGGATACTTGCTCCATGAACACTAAGCCGAGTCTGGTAAATATGGTGCCGTGTGCATCTCCTACTGTGTAATGTTGTGTGCGTCCAGGTGATGCATATGAACTGAGAGGCTACTAATAAGCACTCTGAAGCGGCTTGAAAACTTCTTGCACATGCACATTATTAGGTAATCTGGAATAACAAGGTGTTATGGTAGTTGACAATCTTATGCACCAGGGTCTGAATGCCAACTTTTTGCAAGTAATCTCTCTTCACTCTATGTTGATAGTTTCTACCTCCTAGTAAGTACAGTAAATTTTTCTGTGTGGTAGAGAATATTTTCGTACTCTTTTGTCATCATTTTTTGATCATTCAATAAATTGTGGACAAAAGACAGAAAGAAAGGAAAAAAATTCCATCTCCATTCATTACGGAATCTGAGAGATGTGGTCGTCTACTGACCACCTAGGATGTTCCACCTAATCAAAAGCATTGTCCGAAGAGATATTTAGAATAGGTTCAGGATTTTACTGCAAGTGTGAGTAAATGTTGATACTAACTAAAGAAAGGGAACCAAAGAATCATTACCTGGATCAGATTCAATAGTGCAACAAGATGTTATGACAAATTTAAATGCCGCAAAGACTCAGAGTTCAATGCTTGGCAATTTCTTAAAATCTGATTATAATGTGACGGTGTATTTCAACGTCAAGTTATTTTTGTGATGGCGAGTAAATGAAAAAAATAATATTGAAATTATTGGGATTTGAGCTACTAAACTCGAGGAAATTGTTGGGGAGTTGGGAAATTAACATAGTAGAAATATAGTGGTTCACCAGTTCGAGAGCTTAACTAGTTCACTCTGGAATGGAGGCTCTTATTTATTTATTTTTAAATAATCGTTGTTACAAGGTTACAATGGTCCCTTTGCGTTTCTCGGGTTTCTCCTCTTGTTAAGAGGCGTTACATTGCATTTATAAGGTCCTAAGGGGGATCCTGGCCGAGATTATTGCCTTTACTTTGTGGGGTTCTCCTTAATTTTAGGAGAAGATCTTGGTTAGTTGAGATTAAGTGTCTTGATTGTAGCTTTCTAACGCTTTAGGAATCTCTCTTGGTTATCCAGCTGTTGCCTTGCCTCAAGAGACATTCAGCCCTTACCTTCTGACCTCCCGGTCTGAGATGAATTTCTGAGCTAACACTTGGAATTTATTTTAGGCATTATCAGTTGCCCCCTAGCCCTTGGCCCAAGCGAGCTTGGGCATGAGCTGAGCTACTTTCACTTTGGACTAGACCTGCACCTAGTTGACCTTAGTCCGTATGTGGGATGCACGTGGAAGGGGCTTTTTGACGGTTACAACAATCATGGCTCCCTTGGTTCCCGTGCACGCTTCATCCCATGTTTTTCAAGCCTTAAATGCTCAAGCGGTTATCAAAAATCGTACAGAATCACCGTTCATCTTCTACGTTGTTCACCTTTGTTTCTGGCTCTTTCTGGGTTTTCCTCCACACGATTCTCTTATTCTTTGTTCAAAATTTTGCTTTCTGGGTTCGACTTGAAGTCTTGCTTTGCTCTTCTCCTCCAATTTTGTTCTTTGGTTGTTGTTTGTTGCTCTCTTCCTTGTCTAGGTACGTTTCCTTCTTCTCATTTCTCTTTCTCTTGTCTTTCCTCACTCTGGATCCCTCGACTTCGAGGTAGTCATTGTTTCTTGGGTTTTTCAGTTCTTTTTCTTTTGGAATCGCGATCGTTGCCTATCTCCTCTTCCCCGCTTTGTGGATTGGAATTCCACTGTGCGAATTCTTACTGTTGGGAGGTACAATGCTGACCCTAGGATTATTAGGGGGTGTTAAGTTAGTATTCTTATTTTTTATAATTCTTTCGATTTGTCTTTCTCTTTGTCAATCATGTCTGCCTCCTCTGAAGCAACTCCCTCATCTGTTTCCCTCCTAGGCGATAGGTCTGCCGAGAGAGATTCTGATTTAGGGGATGTAGGTGATGAGATTGACAACTTCCCCGGTGTTGAGGCTGTTGATACTGAGGTGGACTCCAAGGAACTCCCCTCATCTTCCTCTCATGTACCTCCTAGTGGTGACAAGGGTAAGGGCAAGGTGAGTGAGGTTGGGATTCCTGATAGTGCAGCGGTTATGGGGGCTACCTTCAGGCATGCTGAGCTCGTGGTCCCAGTGGGATGGATCCTATTCTCATGGAAGCTCTTAGTGCTCGTTTTGGCTTTTTCCTTGGTGTTCAGCCCTGGTGTCTGGATAAACTCACCCCATACGTTGCCCAAGTGCACAAAAGAGTTTGTTTCTTTGTGGCCGCTTTCGAGAATGACTTTCGTTTTTCTATGCACCCCTTCATCAAAAATGTTCTGCAACACCTCAATGTCTGCCCTGCTCAGCTTTCTCCCAACTTTTGGGGTGTTTTAGTGGGTCTTTTAGTTTTCTTTAAGAAGCATATTCTTGGGACTCCCACCATTTCTCTGCATATGGACCTCTTAAATGTCAAGCTTATCTCAACTGAGGGCTTTCTATATATTTTTAGGCGGATCTCGTCTAGGCAAATCATCACACACCTCCCAAGTTCTCATAAAGGCTGAAAAAAGAATTTCTTTTTCGTTGGGGGTGTCAACTGGGAATACAACTCTATTGATAAAATAAACACTCTTGAGATTCCCAAAGCCTGGACAGCCCTAGATAACTTAGGTGAGTTCTTGCCTGACTGAACTGCGGTATGAAGATTTATGAGTTGTTTTTCTGACCTCTGCATCTTTGGTGTTGCCTCTTTTTTTTTCTTATATATATATATATATATATATTAGGCATTCGACCTGAACTCAGCGCCGAGGACGAGCGGGTGAAGCTGAAGTTGACTAAGTGTAATCTAGAGAGGTACTCTGAGCTTATTAAGCCCTGAGAATTAGAAAGGTAGGGATTCGATCCTCCTCCAACCCCACTTTCCTTTATTCGACCTGAGGACGTAGAAGGTAATGCTCTTTCCTTTATTTGGTTTCATTGCTTTCCTCCCTTTTTTTTCCTTTTGACTAACCAGCTAAAGTCAAATCTGTCAGGGTCTTCTACAATGAAGCCTACCCCTGAGATGCTCCAAACTAAGGTAGAGCTATTGAAGAAGAAAAACAAGGGTAGTACCAAGCGCAAGGCTGAGGGCAGTTCTGGTGGGAGCCCAGTTACTCGAGCTAAGGTTCAGAAAATGGGTATTTCTTCTGCCTCTGCCTCTATCCAAAAGGCCCCGTCATCCCACATTGCATGTCTCACTGATCTCAAGACTTCCTTTCCCACAAGGGACCTGACTTGCCACGGAAGATGCTCCTGGGCGAGACCAGACCTCCCCTTCTGCATCTAAAGTTGAGAGGGTCTTGGATACTGCTCTCACTTTCCCTGGTCGTGCTGCTTCTGCATCAACCAAGGAGACCTTTCAACCTCTCATGACAGGCAAAGGGGTCTTCTCGAAGTCTAAAAATTTTCTTATTACCGATGTGAAACGTGCTGCAAAGGTCATTGCCTCCATTATCCCAGAGTCTGACATTGATGCGGCCACTTCTGTACCCCTGAGAACCTGTATTTTCACTGCACTGTATGGTTGTACCTCGGTGAGATTCTAATTTGTCAAATTCTCCTTTTTTTTTGATGTCCTGCGCTCTTCCCTTTGCTCTAATCTTTCATGCTTGTCTTTAGACTGTCATTCAAATAAGCCGTTTGTTAAAGCGAATCCAAGCCCTAGAGGGGTCAGCCAATGCTTCCAAAGCTTTTGAGCTGAAGTGTGTCAATCTGGCTTTCGAGAATAATGACCTTAAGGTCCAAGTAAAGGAATTGCAAAAACAAGTAAAGCAGCAGTCTTCCCTTGCCAAATCCAGACAAGAGGAGCTCAACAAGACTAAGGAAGACCTCCGGTCAAAAATCGATGACTGGATCAAGGAGAGCCGAAAGTCTCTTGATGTTCTAGCTTCCTTTAGGAATGTGAAGAAGGAGTACGAGGTGCTAGCAAATGCCAGTGATGCTGTCAGAGAGGAGTTAGAGGTTGTCAAGGAGGCGCTGGAGGTCCGAGACACTATCATCCGAAAAAAGGATGAGCTGATTGCCCAGTTAGAGGATGACATTCTCACTAGGTGGGCAAAAGGGTGGATTGCTTTCCAGGGTATAGCTAAAAGGACTTACCCTGAACTGAACTTTAACTTTTCAATTCCCCCTGAGGAAGCGGTCGAGGGGTCTAATGAAGAAGAGGATGATGTTCCTGTTCCTCCTGTTTCTGAAGATGTGCCCAAAGACTCTGAAGGGCTCATCCCTCTAGTTGGGACTTCAGCTCAAGATGCTTCTACCTCCTTAGACACCTCTACTCCCATGGTTGCCGAGCTTTCTACAGCTTTTTCCATCCCTGTTGAGCTGGTCGTTGGAGCTTCGTCTGAGGCTGAGGTCCCTGCCTCCTTGCCTGCTCTTGGCCCTCCTGAGACTTCAACTGTTTTATTGTCAGTAAGGTCGCCTGCTAAGCTAGGGAGCCCTTCTTCAGTTCCTTCTGTTGAGACTTCAGCTACTGCACCGTTAGGCACTTCGCCTACTCTTCCTTCGAAAACTTAAGATGTTGGGATGTAGAGAAATTTTTGTTTGTAGCTTTGGGCTAATTATCTCAGAATTGTAACATTTTGAAACGAAATTTGAAATGAAAATGTCAGAATTGTAACATTTTGTGTTTAATTTACAGCTTATAGCTCTCCTTTCTATTTGTTTTCCAACTTGTTGCTTTATTCTATTCTACCACCTATCAAATATGATTTTCTTATATTCTTCCCTTTGCTTCAGGGGATCATTTAGATCTCCTTGAAGTAGAAAGGTTAGGAATACGTGTTAATGCACCTAGCTGAGCTTCTAGCTTCTCAACCTGCTTCTGTCCGAACTCAAGCAACTGACCTCCAGAGCTCTGACCTTACTTCATCCTCAAAGTTAGGATATGAAGCAAAAATATTTTTTTAACTTATCAACTCATGGTTGTAACAATTTTAGATCAGAATGCAACTATGTAACTTTGATTGTGTAATTCCTCTTAGATTAGAATGCAATCTTCTTAACTCTTATCAAGTGTACCTGAAGGATTTATTATGTTGGATAGAAGTAGACCTTTCTCTCTTGTCTCAGGGTGAGCGTTCATCATTTTCATGCGCAACAGACTGACTAGGTGCTGACTTATTTTCAGGGCTAAATAACCATCGAACTCTACGCAACTCAGGGTGAGAGTTCATTCTTTTGGCAAGCCTTAGGGGATATGTGCACATGTAGCCATTGATCAGATTCTCTTCCCTGTTTGTGAGTTCAGCTGTTCTGATTAAGCGAGGTGGAGAGCATGCTACCATGTTCTGTCCTTTGGTGCCGACGTTTCGAGCTCTGGGTTGGTCATGGCCCCTTG